TTTTTTTTTTTTTTAATCCTAATTACATGTATTCCATTTCTTAGACCCTTTCACCCACCTGCATAGAGTACCGATGCTTTTGTATATTTATACACAACCCATCAAAGAGGTATGTCAATTTTCACCACATTGTGAACACGTATCCTCATTACGTCCACTCACTTAAAGAGAATGGTCCTTTATCTGCTATAAAAAAGTTTACAGTACGACCTTCTAATCGAGTTCTTTGTGCACGTAAGAGGGCCAGAAATGGTAGCAGCAATTAAAAATCACAAATTCTTCAGTTTTCTTCCAGTTTGCCTACTATGACAATCTTTGTCGTTTTGGAGAGGGTGTCACCTCTGTATCCTCATCTTCTTCATCTGAATCTCCTTCATAGTCAACCAAGCCCTGAAAAATGTATTGCATATGTGACTCCAACTAACAAATATAACTAATAGTACAACTTCGTTGACACTTTAATCCTTTTCCAAAGAAGAAAGAAAACTTTACCTTCTTAAATAATGCAGTTCCAGTTTTTTCTACTGTGCCAATAGTTGAATTTGGATTAATTTCTGAAGTAATTGGAGATTCATTCGTTGTTGTCGTAGTATTGTTAATTTGTGATTGTTGCGAGGTAATATTATTGTTAGCAGTATTATTGTTCAATACAGATTGCTGTTGCTGCTGCTGCTGATGACTTTTAGAATCTGCAAGAGCAGGATTAAGTGCAGAATTTGAAGTTGATGATTGTTTTTTAGCAGAAGCCGGAGGCACAAGATCTGCTGCTGCTGCGGGTACGACCGCCTCACCCTCATCAAAGTCTTCCTCTTCATTAAACCACATTTCCTCTTCTTCATCTAACTGTCTCTGGTCCCTTCTGTATCGACTATTTCTTAATATGGATGGAACACTAACCAAGCATAATTAAATATATATTAGTCCTACTTTCTGCTTAAAGTCATTTGTCTAAAAAATTATATACTTAAAAAGACATGTACCTGTCAAGAGCTGCTCTGTCCCGATCTTTCAACTTGTCTTGATGTTGTTCGTACCTTAGCTTCAAAGCTTTAAATGTTTGTACATAATCAATTGCTTCCAGTTCTTTTGAGAAATTTTCAACGACATGTGAACATAACGATTTAATATCCTCCTGTGATAAAATTTACAAATGTATGAGAAATACAATATGTAACTTTATACAAAATATTATAATGTGTACTTATACTTACCAGTTTTATAAATTCAAACATTTCAAGAATAGCAGAATCCAACAAATTATATCTACCATTGTTTCGTACAAACGCATCAAATACAGGCGCGAACAAATTTCCTTTAATGATATATCTATTGTAAAATTCATCTTTCAGAGCTACGATTTTTCTCATGAACCTTAAAGCGCACAATACTAAAAATGTATGTGTTGATTTCATCAAAACCAATATCCGTTTGAGCAAATCTTTGTTCAATATGCAATTCCTGATGTGGTATGTATGATGTTCTACGCAAAATGATAGTAATTCTAAGATCAATCCTAAAAGCTGTACTGTTCTATAATCTTCTCTTGCTGGTCTTTCTCCAATTGTGTTTGCTAAAAGTGGTGCTATTAGTGTTCCAATACTATTTTTATAAAAATAGTTCAAGAAATCAGTTTTTTCTGATTTGTTAACAGAAGTTAACATATTTTCTGGATCAAGAAGCAGACGTAGTACACCAGCTAATTGTACTGCTCCACCCAACTCTGGGTCGCTATCGCCAACGAGTTGAGCAACTATTACATTTATTAACATTTGGTCCTGTTCTGTATTATTTATTTGTTGCAATGTGTAATCTCGAACAACACTTGGAGAATATTCTACTATGTAAGTCAATATATCTATACTGGCAGTTTTTGTTTGGGCATCATTCATTGCCAAAGTAATTTCTAAAGCAGGTAAAATACCAAGTGCTGTTAAAGTTTTATAAAAGGCCTCCTTTCCTTGTGGTTGAAGATTTTGAGAAAAATTACAAAATTCTTTTAAAAAAAGAACTAGATCACGTCTCTTGCTATCTGATGTTGCTTCATCAGTTAACTGGCGAAATAGTTCAGTAAGGAATTTCTCATCATCCTGTATCAAGGTAACTATTTCAACCTTATTAAAAAATATAAAGCTACTCAATGTGTTTAACATGTTATCCTCAAATACACTTGGAGTTGGCAAAACTACATCTTGAATGTATTGAACTCGATACGTTTGGTGAATTTTAGCTAATAGTTCAGCATTTGTAATAGGAATTGCTTGCTTAAATCTCGCTAACTGTCGAAGATATTCTCTGTGCCTCTTTGGCTGAGGTAATGTTGGCTCATATTCCAAACATCCAACAACATCGAAAATTGTATCTTCGCTAAACATAACTTCAAATAATGTGTTCTTATTAAGTAGGAAAATATTTTTAAATATGTCATACAGATGATGTAACCCTTCAATGTTTTCTAAATCTTCACAAGTATGAAATAGATTTAATAGTTTTTTTATATAGCCTTCTGATTCTAAAGCCAATGCTAGTTTATCTTTCCTCATTTGTGAAGATAAACAATTTCCTATAAGTTCATTAATATCTTCCAATCGACTTAATTCACATGGAGGCAATTCTATTGGTGGTGCAGCATCAGACATATCATCAAATCGTTCATCTTCTGACTCTTCAACAATATCTTGGGTAATTTCAACAGATGGATCTTTGCCCTGGACTTGACATATCTTCTCCCAAATTTCATCACAGCCAGCCTTTTCTTGGAAACTTAAGGCTAAATCAAAATTTTCTCCTTCTGACCAAACTATTAAAGTATCCTGAAATATAAAATCAATAATGTTTGTAATTTCTATATTTTATAATTTGATTGATTCTTCACATGTTATTTATTATATTCTCAATTTATATTACATAATATGAAAATGTCAATATATTATATGATTATATCTTGTATTTTCATTTTTTTAAACTTTTTATTAAATATTAAATTAAAAATTTGCAATTATTACCTGTTGCTTCTGATATGCTGTATCAGGTTGTATTCTACTTTCCAACAAAACTGAACCATCACTCTCTGCTCTAACTAAAAGTGAAATTCCTTTCAGTCTATCTACATATGAAGACGAAACATGACCTGTACCACGATCATCCCATTGTCTATCAACATTGAGCGCATATAACTTCACTCTCCTCCGTGTATCCGTCATATTGTAAAAATTAACTTATACACACTGTTTTAAAATATCACCAACTACCTCGCATACCTTTAAATTTCATCAACCCTTTGGTTTTTCTAAATATGCTTATAAATGATTCTCAACTTTCTGATATATCGACAAATGCATAAAAGTCTGCATATATCAATTTGTCAATTACACCCTTGTAACCCATTAAGACGTTTTATTATAACATTAACTTTATAAGAGAAAGACACCTTCAAATATATATGGTTTCTTTAAAGTTTCGATTCATACACAAGATTATTCCTTTTCTAACAATTTGGGGAAATTAATGACGTAGTTGTTAATTAACAAAGACACCATAAGGAATCTTTATTCATCTCTAATAAAAATTATTGACAATTTTACAGACTTCACCAGTCTATGTATTCTTTCTTAGTTCTTTCATTAATTCTATAATATTTCGTTTATTGAATTTACACGATATTGAGTTTTGTCACTAAAATTATTAAAGTAAAATTCAAGCGATGACTATCTGTCATTTAGTTCACATCCCTTCAAGTTCGATTGACGGTATAAGATTGTTTACCGTAATAGATGTTTATGCGCTCTTCGTTGCATAAGCCTGATTCTTGCGCCAAGAAAACCTCTCAGGACGCGCGGGAAAACTTTATATCGTGCACGTTTTTACTATCACGTGCCGTGTGTAAGGAACGCAATTAAATCTCAATTCTCTGTCGAATCACTCGAAAAGACCAACTGGTTGTCGTAAGAGGTCAGAAGAAAATTTTGTTGCTGGGAAGACGGCACTCTGCGTGCTCTCTCGCCGCTGTGTACGATTCCCGCGACAAACGAAACCAAAATTAAAGTCAATCCTCTTGCAATACAAATGCTCATAAGTACCTTATTACTTTACTCAATTTCTTGCAATACCACGATCGCCAACCATTACAATTCTTTCGTTCTTATTAAGCAAAATCACTCTAAATTTGACATAGACACTGAGCAGCCACAACACTACACTCCGCCATGTTAGATCACAACAACGCGCTACGGGTTCGCCTCGCATATCTCAAGGATTTTAGCGCGTAATACGATAGCCCGTATTTTATTAGATATTATGTTCATTGATTTAATATATAAATTGTTTAAAATCATTTAATATTAAATTTTATACATTAAATTTCTGATATCCTATTTAATTGTTTCATCATTAATATTACTTATTTTTCAACATTATATGCATAATGAATATTATGTACTTTTAAATGTTGGATAATATTTAACAATTATTATATTAGATATTTTTTACATATAAGCATATAGTATATATATAAATTAAAATGGAATTTTTTTTATAAATGTATTTGATATAGACCGTTTCATAAAAACAGAACATAATATAGTAATATTTAAAAATAATTTAAGATTACGTTTATATTTGTATACTAAACAAGTATATTATACCTTTATCGTCAACTTAATCACATTGTATTGATTAAACAAACTAAAGCATACATGAATAAATATATTTTATCAAAATAATAAGTTGAAAATAAAACAAATAAAATTAAAACAAAATTAAATGTTATAAAATTTTATAAAAAAAAGTGACGTATTAATTAAGTAATATTTATCATTTTATAACAAATCACATATATATATAAACTTCTTATATAGTTTGTATAATTTAAAACTATTCATGTTTTATATACTCAAAAGTTTATAAACATTACTTCTTTCTAAAATAATTTAAATTATGAAAACTAATCATTTAATGCGATTTGATCACTATGATGAGTCGCACCGAGTTTGCGCATTTTCAGTATTGAAAAATAAGGTTATAATTATCGTTCACTAATCAATAATATTTAACGAATGACAATAATTATTCACCTATATTTTTATATTTTTTCTTATATTTATAAATATTATCCATAGTTATTTTAGTATTTAAAAATATATTTTTTCACTTTCTTTTCAAAAAGAAATTCATTTTATCATTATGATGACAATGTTAAAATAGAAATTGAAACGAGAATTTTAATACTTTTTTCTATAATTTATAACTATTTCAAATTTTACCATTGCATGAGTAAAAATTATACCAAATATTGTTATATCTCATTTTTAATCTAAAATAACTATATTTTTAACTATGTTAGAACTTTCATATTATTCTATTCTTATAAATAATATAATTTATTTTGTACTTATCTTTTGTTATCTCACTTCATATATGTTAATTGTTTAAAATTATTACAAATAATTTTGCATACATCAAATATATATATCAAATATGTGTATGTGTGTATAAATTTTCATGATGAAAACAAAAACATTATTAAATAGACAAATAAATTTATTACATACAGTGACAGTTATCTAAAACAATTATTTTACAATCATGTAACTGACATTACCATTCCCATATTCAAACACAAGCATTCTTAATATGTAATAATTAGTCAAATCTGCACAGTAACTTGTAGCACAAACAAGAATGACAGGACTTATTAAATCATATTTTGTAATACAAAAATCGTGGGATAAAAAGTGATAAACTAAAATCATGTTTAGATACATATTACAGAAACAATTTAATCAATACAAAAATTGTTTTATGAAATATATTAGATAAACCGATCGTATAAAGGATATATACATAGAATAGTTAAAAAGATTTAGATAATCTGATTATATAATTTGTATGTTCTGCATCTAAAATAATTTATTAAAAAAAAAGAACAAATTTATATTATTCCCATTAAATGATTAATATATTTATGATTATTAATATTGTAATATCAATTTTAAATTTTAAGTTTTTATAATTATTATGTTCTTCCAATTATCTGTAACCAGGCTTGTTATTAATTAGAGTACAATTATATTACACAAATTATCACATCATTTTACGAACATTTATTCTGCTGTGAGCTGAGTTGAAAATTTTTGTAGTCTACGTCTTCGTAACATTTCTTGTTCACTTGAAGATTCCATATCATTGCTAACTGATGATTCTGATGTTATATCATTACTATTTGTACCTGGTACCATATTTACATTATTATCACTGGAAGAATTTGCAGTAGGAACATTCATCTCAGTTTCAATTTGCGATTGATCACTATTAATTCCAGAACTTGTAGTTTCTGATATTCCTTGTTTTGCCATGGGAGAAACATCTGTTGCAACAGTTGTGTTATTTGTTGCAGTTGGCACTGGAATACTGCAATAAATAAATACTATAAAATGATAATACTGAATATTATTTTTTAATTTTATTAGGATACAAAAAATTCGTACACACTTAGCAGTAGCAGCTGCTGTTTGATACTGGTTCATCATAGCACTGGCAGCATCTAACAGAAGCTGAACTCTTTGCAATGTTTGTATTCTAACTTCCACAGCTTGTCGCAAATTACCTTCCATTGCTCTAAGTTCTTCTTCGCTTAATTCTGTAAGATTTGGTGGTGGTGTAGGAATAGGAGGTAAAGGTACCATAGTTGGAAATGGTGGAGGAAATAATGGTACACTACCAGCTGTCAAATTCTGGAATGATGTTGAAGGAGTATTTGGTGCATTATTTGGACTTTGCTGTTGCTGTGTTGTTGCACTTGAAGTTTGTTGTTGCGACTGTTGTTGCTGTGATGATTGTTGTTGTTGTGGTGATTGTTGTTGTGGAGGTGGTGCCCCTGCAGCTTGCATTCCAGCCCAAAATGCTGGAGGGACTTGAACTTTATTTAATACAATGTAAATATTAGTTTATCCTTGAAATTAACATATAGTAATCAAAATACATACATTAGCATACATACCAATTGGATTAAATCCTGGTGCCTGTGGAGCTTGTGGTGCTTGAGGCACTTGTGGTCCTGCCTGTGGTTGATTTTGTTGTCTATTTCCTTGATTGTTATTAACAGGTCTTAAAATGTTCAAGCGGCAGGTAGGGCATGTTTGTTGACGTTGGAACCATGAACGGAGACAAGCTGTATGAAAAATATGATTGCATGGTAACTTTTTACTAGCTGCAACCATTTCCTCTCTAAAATATTGATGTGAAATGTATTTTTAGTATTATATCAATATTTACATTTCTAAGAAATTTTATTTCTTAATTGTTTATTTAAAAAAATTTACCTGCAAATAATGCACACATTATCAGCAGCAGCTAATTCTTCTGCTGTTGCATCTGGATATAATGTATTCATATTTCTGATAGCTCTACGTGACATCACAATGTCGTGAATAGCTCTTTTAAAATTTCTCATTGTATAATACATTGCACGAAGTGCAAACAAAGGTAAAGTATACAATTTGACCATCAAAGTGACAAAAGCAACATACAAAATAACCTGATATAAAAAGATATATTAAATTTAATAATTGTAATATTATATCAATAATTAATAATTTAATTAATAATAAATATTTCAAGAATAAATAATTAATATATCTTACCTTTAATAGTCCAATTATTAGCTCTGTATACAATAGAAATACTGGCTTATTATCCCATGGATTTTCACTTTGTAGATCTATAGTATGCAATATATACTTTATACTAATATTGAATACAACAGTTAAAAGAATGGCATATTCAAAACCAAAAACAAGTTGTACAGAAGGACCTTTTGTAGCTGTTGTATTATATGCATAATGAATCATAGTTAAATTTATGGCAAACAATAGTGCCAATAAAGTACTAACTCTAAGATGGAACAACCAAGTTATTACTGGACTTCTTTCCATCTAAAAATTAAAAAATGGAATATTGTATGTTCTAAAATTACACTAAATTAGTCATATTACTTACATAATTTACACGATCTCCCACTAACCAATGAAATGATTTTAAAAATAAAAGAAGTGTAAATAATGCTATAAATTTTGGGCTAAAATCATCTCTAAACACTGTAAATGCTAGACAAGTTTCAGTCACTGCATACCATACTTTTTCCAATAAATGCTGTAAATAAATAACTCTCAATATTTGTATATGTGTGTGTGTGTGCACGCCACGTGCGCGTGTGTGCATGCATACACATATATATTTTATAATCATTCATAATTATAACAAATACATTGTATACGTACCTCAAGTTCAGCAACACGTAGGGTACCAAAAAATATTTTTCGTAGGAAACCATTTATCATAAACATTAGAATTAGACCTTGTATGTAAATTACCTACATTTCATTTAAGAAAAGAAACAAAAGAATTATTAGGATATCCAGAATTTGAAACAAAAAATTTATGGAAAAGCATCAGAACTTACCGTCATACTAGGATTGGATTTGGTTATGTGAACTACTGTTGGATAAAACTGTTTTCTTTGATAATAAGCATTGCCTATCACAGCGCATGTTAATGCCGTGCTTATTAACATTATTCCAGCCTCTCTCATTTTTACACGGATTGTTCTTTCAGCCCAGAGGCTGCTTTTTCGGTATAATATTCACTGACACTTATTTTACTAACAATTTACGTATCAACAGCTGTAGATTTTACTCGAATCAACGAGGCGCTGCTATCATAACGACAGTATCCAAAACTATCAATGAAATTTGCGATTTCAAAAATATTTTACAGAATAAAGAAAACGATTTTTAAACGTTACTGTTTTGTACCATACCTTTATTATCTAAATACTGAAGATAATTTTACTTCGCAACGGATATAGAAACTTCGTATCATAATTGTGTTGTTTGTGTATAATGAACGTGTATAAGATTTATTTGACAGTCCCAGATGGTACAGACGGTAAAATTTGATTGGTGGAACGATGAATAAATAAGTTACAATTACAATTATATTTAAATCACATGGAATAGAACCATAAATTTGATTTTTGTATTTTATTCTCTGCCTTTTATTCTTCTTACGAAATCATAAAACACAAAAAGTAATACTATATTATCAAAAATTATAAAACATTGTTAAATTATAAATATCTGTATTTTTTATGTTTCTAAATATAAAAAGTCTAATTTAAACATTACAAATTTCAAAATTTCAAAAAATAATATTGCAATTAAAAAATATAATGTTTGTACTTTATTGTAGGTATATATTATATTAATACTAAAAACAAATACAAAAAAACATATGTAATAATGTATAAATACATAACTTCCTTAAAAATATATTTGTTTAAAATTGTTTTATATTATATAGTATTAAAATGTATGATATAAAACCCATTTAGTCAATATGTTTATTATGTGCTTATGTTTTCAATTAACATATTTAAAATTCTCTTTAATATATTTATATGGCAATTCATTATATATGAAAATACTATAACTACTAAAGATGTTATAAAAGTAAATTTATTTTTTAATCTTTTTTATGGGAGTTTAGGAAATCCTATAAATTTTTATCAATTTAAAGCTGAATATACTGCAAAATAGATTTTCCTGAATATATTATCAACATATTTGTACCTTGTTCATAAATTAAGTGTGTCTACTAATATTTCTTGTCGTTTTTAGAATACTTTTAGGACTTTGATATTTAGGAGTCCCTAATTGATTAACAGCTTTTAAAGGTGTTTTACGAGATTCCATTATAGGTTTCTTCACTAATGCTTTACCACTTTTAGGTGTTTTTATAGTTAATGGTTTCTTAATGTGTGGGGTTTTACACAGTACATTATTATCAGTTTTATATACATTTAATCTCGATTCATGTAATATTGTATTCGTAGGCATTTTTTGCAATAAAGGTGATGTTTTAACAAACATATTTTCTTTTTGATGAATAGCCATGTTACATGCTGTATCTTCGGAATTACAATAACATATTTCAGTACCTTCTTTTTTAGTGTCAATTTCCATTGTAATAGAAGATGGAGAATGTTTTAATAACATTTTTGAATTTCTGTTTTTTATATTTTTACTTGATTTTCGCAACAATTCTATTCGTTCACAGTTCAGTTTTATATTATTTGCACATTGATTATCTTCTAAACTAGATAAATCATTTTTCTTGTTTATAACAGTATTTTGAGCATACACTTTTGTTGTACATTCATCAAATAATTTAGCTTTAGCTAATACCATTCCTGCATTCTGAGTTCTTAATTTTGCAATCGATGCACGGCCAGTTTGAGTAACTGGACTATTCTTTTGACATGTTGATTTAAAATAACCATCTGCATCTTTCCAAGACATCGTTGTTTTCTTCTTCCCCTCAGATTTTGGAATTAATTTAGTTACGGGTGTATCATTTAAAATCATATTTTGTTGGCTATTTGTCTTCTTCAATTTTTCAACTTTTCCATTGGAATATATGTTTGCGTTTGTAAGTTCGTTACCATGAAAAGATGATACTCGACGTACTGTAGTATGTATCCGATTTTTTACTAATTGAGAAGCCTGATTAAATTCTTTTGTATACATACTTGAATTGTTAAATTCATTGCATACATTATCTAACATTACATTATTTTTTTCTTCTTCCCAAAGGGAAGTAGATATAGGCCGTAAGTAAGCATCATCATCTGTATAAAAACCTTTTGCATTGTGAGAATAAGGATTGTTTAAATCTTGATCAGACTGTATATGTGATTGTAAGTCTGATCCATGAGAAATGTGCCATGAAGCAGTTCGTCTAATGCGTTTGCTGCGAAATAAAAGAACTAAATTAATAACTGTTTAACCAAAAAATACAAAAGTTTATATAGTGCCTCAATTATAAAAAATATAATTCATTTACCTCATCACTCTTTCTTGTGATCTTCTTCTTAAACTTCCTATTTTTCGAGCACTGGGAGATCTGATTATTTTATGTTCATCCGATCTCCTAATTTTAAGTTCTTTACCAAGTTTCTTAGCTAAATAGTCCGTTGTTACTGTACTTTCAATACTGGCTTCTTCCAATGTCTTTTCATATGCAGTTTGTACTTCTTTTACAGAATGCAGTAATAAATCATCATTCTCCTCAACATTTTCGTTATTTACACATTTAAACTTTTGAGAAAGATGAGATTCAATTGCTGAAACTCTATTTTTAATTTCCTCATATTCACTTTTAGGTATTGTAACATATTCCTCTGACTGATTGTCCATTGATGTGACTTGAACACGTGAATATGTTTCGTAATTATTTACAGTTAATCTTCTTTTTGATGGATATACATGTCTTTGATCAAAATGATCTAAAGTTTTTAATTCTTCAGAACTTGAATTTAATCTTATATGTCGTTTATTAGATTTAACATCATCTTCTTTTATTAACAAGACCTGCTCGTCACTATCATCTGATAAATTAACATCTGCATCAACAAACATATTATTATATTCTTTATTGAGTTCATTTGATACTTCACTATCTTTCAGAATTAATTTTAAATTTGATGAACCATCACTGTATGTTCTATATGTTCTTTGTGAATCACTTGAATTACAAGCTGAACTCCAACGTCGTTCTGTATGGATGTCAAAGCTATTTGAACATAATTCTGAATTTTCATCAACAACTTTCTGCAAATATAAATATTATGAACATAAAGTGTTATGAAAACTAAATAAATCATTATATAAATTATCATAATATTTTTACCGGCTTTTTTGGTACAAAACGATCTAAACTAAGTCTAATCTTTTTAGATTTATCTGTTTTATCTACAACTCTCCTGAAACATAAATTAAAAATGTTTACAAACAATAGTTTATATAATACTTGATGTGTATAGAAGAGCAATAAACACATACTTCTTCTTTGTACTTGGTGGATCTAAATAATCTACTTTTCTTCTTTTTGTGGATTTAATATTTGATGCATGTATTGAATCTGCATTTTCAGAGATTCTCTGATTATCACATATATTACCATCTTCAGATACAGCATTCTTCCCAACAATTTTTTTTAAACCATTAAACATTCCTAATGAAAAGTATTTAAAATTTAAATAATTTAATTCATATAAGAAAATTTTGATCTGTTAAGTAATTAAGTTAATAAATTAGTTAGATGATTAATTTGTTAATCACACAAATTGACACACTTATGTTCACTACTTAATACTTGAGTAGTATGTTGTTATTATGAAATTTCATTATTAATGTTAGTATAATGTAAATTAAATTGGTAATAAATTACTATGAACAGATCCACAGACATACTTAGATTGAGGTTGGAGGCACTTAGATGTGGCTTACGTGTAAGACTTCCACTGCGATGTTTCTTTTTTTTTAGTTTTGAACGCAAGTGATCAGATACATCTAATTCATTGTCTATACTGCCAATTGTTTCCATAGAAATAGCTTGTGTTATATGATCTGGTAAAATACCAATACTTTCTGCATTTTCAATTAAAATCTATAATAAAATTTTTAAAATGTAATAAATAAAATCATCTTACATTAAAATTTATATTTTTTATTAAGATAAATATATTACTTTAACAACAATTAAATGTAATTCAAGACGCATTTGCACAGCAGTCATAGTAGTTCCTTGCAAGGGCATAATATTTGGCCCAACAACTTTTGCTAAATTATCAACACTCATTTTATTTTGTTTCTCACATAATGCTACCCTTTTTAAAAATTCCATAAAAAATGCCAAAGTATTTAGATGATGTGGTGGTAAAAGAATACAAGCTAATAATAATGCTTGTACACAATAAGTTTTAAGCATGACGCAATGTACAAATAAATCATGATATATGTATGGAATTAATGGTTCTGGAAGGTCTCTGAAGAAAGATTTTAAACAATTAGCAACATCAACGGCATGATGTTTTTCTCCTAAACTGCCACCATTATCTAAACGAGCTATTAATTCCTTTTGTCTAAGCTGTGAACCTGCTTTTCTGAATAATCCTTCTTGAGTAATATATTTTTCTAAAAAAGTAGATGCTTGGCTAACAAAGATAGGTACATGTACAATGGCACCAGATGATAAATTCACAACATCCAATGGTTGATACAACAGTGGAGTTTTAAAAATTTTTTTCGATATATGTTTCACTCCTTCAGTTCTTTCTATCTTAAACATATTCTTTTTAAAACGATATTTAACTCCATAATTACGAAGATCACTAACAATTAAATTATATACTGTTTCTTTATGTAGAACATCGTAAATTAACATGTTTGTACTTGATGTAAATTATTCAGTCATAAATTATAATAAAATGTTTTGTTTACAGAGCATGTAAGAATGTAACACACTTTTCATATTCATACAAACATAATCATACAGTCATATTGAAATTATCACGTAACTGACATACACTGTTACCAACTGTAAAAAGTTTCTTATAAAATAAAAATCAATATTAATATAAAATATTAATTTTTTTATTTATTTTAGAAATATACATAATAAATTATGATATAATTACAATATTTAAATTATAGTTAAATGTTATAACATCGTGTTCTTGCCTGTAAAAAAAAAACCAACTTATAATCTCGATAAAAACTATCGATAAATATTACTATCGATAATTTGAAATGACTGATTCTAATGCTAGCCGTACTAAAAGTAAAAATGGCGGCAATGCGAAAGTCCAGCTTTAACATGCTTAGTCCTCTCTTAATCTTCCCAGTATTTCTTTACCAGCTTTTCAGTTTTCTGCTTATTTTCCATATGCTTATATCAATGCAATAATTTCAAATTTTCCGAAGTATATGAAAGATGAATAACTGTCCTAATGTCCTAAATTTATTTATTTATACTAATTTCTCATATCTATTCTTGTGTATTTATTTAACAGAATCAATACATTTTCCCTACATATAATAGTATCGTACATATCATATCTACATATTTTACAATTAAAAAATCATATTTATTGTATATATCATTTTTTTTACATTATATTCATTGATGTACATGTCCTCTAACTTGATATTAGTAGGTAATGTGTGACAAAGAAAACGAATGACATTCAAGAGACTTTTGTCTATGAGCAGCCTCAGCTGACTTCTGAGTGCTCTATAGTACTAATATAAAAATTTCTATATGTACTTCTAACAATTATAATATTGTTCTTTAACATGGTTTTACAATTAATTGCATAATTCTTCTTTGTAGTAACTAATTATCCCAATCTTCTTTTCACGTGTTCACTTAACCTCTTTGATTACATATCAATAATTTTGTCTATTTCAGGTTGTTGTTAACCGAAAATATATATATCCCTTTGTCAATGTTTAAATATTTTAATTTCGACACTTACATTTTCTGGAAGCTACTATGAATACATCAAATATAATAAATCACTACACTAAATTATTATCGCGATTCTACAAAATGTATATTACATTTAACATATAAATATTAGTATGCATCTATATGACTTCTATACTTATATTACTTACTTATATATACTATAGCTATGACATTTATTTTTTGCTTATATATAATTAATAAAGAATAGTCTATATTAGTATAATTTTCTATAAATAAAAATGTTAATTATAATCCAAAGTACAAGATTCCATTATTGTAAATAAAACTCTAAATCCAACTCTAAATCAAAACATGTTTAAATATTGCCATTACATATTTAACAAATTGACTCATCAATGTATAAAATATCAATTTGTTCATTATTTTTTTCGTAACAACTCAACAGCGTTTAATACAATCATTACGTAGGTTATCTTCAGTTTATTTTATATAAATTAATTTAAATCAAATTATTCCTTTTGCATATTTTGAATAGTTTTAATTTAGTTATTCTAAGTTAAACTTCACTCAAATCAAGGATGACGAACTGGCGGGCTGCCAGCCTTTCTCTCCTCTTTCACTGAGCTACCAACATGATCCCCTCCATGTCGATTGGATTTCACTAACTTAACATTCCCCTTCTCATATTCCAAGCAAAGTGTGTTATACATACTGTGGAATTCATTTTACAACTGTAAGGACATAGGCATTTTTGTATTTCGATTCCAAGCCTCGGCAAGGGGGGGAGCCGATCAAATGGTGGAAGGTGTCATGTAGCTCTTGGCGCAAAAGTTCATTTAAATCATTTTTATATTATTATATGAAACACTATTTCGAAGATTGTAGTTCAAGAAATAACAAAATTTTTACTTTTCCTCAAATTTCAATATAAATAACAATTTTTTAAAATATTCTAGTCAATGTTATCGGCAAAACTTATTATTAATCAATAAATGTTATATAACATATACCCTTGTACGTAATTCTGTTTCTTTATATACATGAACCTATATATTCGGAACTGTATAAGTTTGTTCTAATTTTAGAAACTGATTTTATATCCAAATAGTTAATGGTACTACAAAGCAGTTAATTCGTGAATATTTAAAAATAACACTTTATGATAATTATTATAAAAATTGTCGCCATAATTTGACAACAACAATATCAATGATAATATTGTTAGAAATTATTTAAATAAATTTTTACAAATTTTTTTCAGCATTAGACCAGTTGAAAAAGGGAAATATGCAAACAGTAAAATTGTTGTCAGGATATGATATGCCTGTTGTGGGTTTAGGTACATGGCAGGTGATTTAAGTATTGCAGTGAAACCAAAATTATTATTTAATATTCAAACACTTTTTAATTTTGTATATTTTCTAGGCTAAACCTGAAGAAATTAAAAATGCTGTGACAACTGCTCTAAAAGTTGGCTATAGACATATTGATACTGCATTTAATTATAATAATGAAGAAGCAATTGGAGCAGTGTTAAAAGAATGGTTTGAAAATGGTGGAAAACGTGAAGATCTTTTTATTACATCAAAGGTAATATTCCATATATATTAATGAAACAATTTATATATATAAAGAAAAAAAATATTTAATTATTCTTTTAGTTACCCCATTATGGTAATCGGCCATCAGATGTAGAGAAGTTTATTAATTTATCACTAAAAAAACTTAATTTGGATTATTTGGATATGTATTTAATCCACATGCCTTTTGCCTTTAAATTAAATGAAAGCACTTATACTCCAGCAACTCATGAAGATGGAAGTTTTGTATTAGATCTTGATACAGATCCTGTTTCAGTGTGGAAGGTTTAAGACTGTAGTACTATTAATAAATAATATATTAACAATTTGTAACTTGTTATCTTTGAAAAATATTTTAGGAAATGGAAGAACAAGTAAGAAAAAACCGTACAAGGTCTATAGGTTTAAGTAATTTTAATGAGAAACAAGTCTTAGATATATGGGAGAATGCACAAATTAAGCCATGTAATTTACAAGTAGGTTTTCAAGTGTTGGTGAATTGATTACTTATTTAACATGGTTTCAGTAATAATTATTTTAATTATACTTAGGTAGAGTTACATGCTTACTTGCAACAGTGTTCACTTCGACAATTGTGTCAAACACGTAAAATCATTGTAACAGCCTACAGTCCCTTGGCATCACCAGGAGCTAAAACGCACTTTCAAATAAAATATAATCATAATATTAAAGATTTTCCAGATCTTCTAGGACATCCAATAGTACAAAAAATAAGCACAGAACATAAACGATCAACAGCACAAATTTTATTACGTTACTTGTTGCAATTAAATGTTGTGGTAATTCCAAAAAGTTCATCTCCTGAGAGAATTAAGGCAAACATAGATTTATTTGAGTTTTCATTAAAGGAAGAAGAAATGAAATTATTAAGTTCCTTAGATAAACAGGCACATGGAAGAATTTTTAATTTTTTGTTCTTTAAGGGGTGAATATATTTATTGAAAATATTTTATTCTAAAGTATATAAAAATATAAACTACTTTTGATTTGTTTTAGGGTTGAGAATCATCCACATTATCCATTTAAAGATGAATTGGAACCCTAATTAGAAAACGTTATTAATATGTAGTTTGAATATGTGCATATTTATATATTAAAAATTCATGAACTGTAGTAAAAAATTAAAACATATACAGTAATGAATAAATGTATAATATAAAATATAACAAAAATAAAATATTGTTATATTTTAATGAAGTCTGTACAACATTTTACGTTGCATACGATGCTGAAGTTCCCCACGTCGTATCATTGTGTGTATAACTTTGTAAATAGCACGTTCTGGATATGCTTGTTTTATAAAATCTTTAACAATATTTTGCTCTGATACTTGATTTCCAATGGGAAATCTACGTTTTAACTGTTTTTCGATACGTGATAACATTTCGTGATCTTCATCTGAGGTAAATCCTTCTGCACCTAAATTTTTATCTATGTGTAAGATGTACAATAAAAAGAAATATATGTAACAAATTACTTAATTCTAGATTACCAGCTAGTGATCCAGACATTGCAGCATCTAAAGTGGATACTTGAAAAAGTCTAAGTGCTTCATTGACATGGACTTCTGTAGCAAAAGGTAGTAATTGTAATTTAGCTAATGATTCTGAAATTCTAATGACAGCTTCTAACTGACGAACCGTTATAGGGATAGATAATCTCTTTTCTATACCCTTCTCATGTTCTCTGGTACTAGTTCGCATTACAACATAACGATTTTTTAATTTCTCTCCTGCCTCTTTACTAAGTCTCGGACCACAACGACTGTAAAAGGTATATAAATCAATGAAAAATAAATGAAATATTTTTAGGTAATAAATAACCTTACGTTCTACAATAATGAATATATTTTTTCAAAATGTGCAATGGTAATTCTCCATCCATGGATTGTTCTGTCACTTGAGCAGCATTGCTGTGGATATTCATTACATGTTTTGCTAATATTACATCTTTATTTTGTTCATGTTCATCTTTAACAATAAATATCATATCAAAACGTGAAAGAATTGTTGGCATAAAATCAATATTTTCTTCTCCTTTTATATCATCCCAACGACCAAATATCGAATTTGCTGCTGCTAAAACAGAACAACGAGTATTCAATGTTGTAGTTATTCCTGCTTTTGCAATGGATATTGTTTGCTGTTCCATAGCTTCATGTATTGCAACTCTATCATCCTCTTTCATTTTATCAAACTCATCTATACAGACAACACCACCATCTGCAAGAACCATAGCACCTCCTTCCATGACAAAATTCCTCTGCAAGTTAAATGAAATGTTTTAATATATGTGAAATAAAAGCATTTATATTTAGAAGTTAAAATTATTAACAACTTACTGTTACTGGATCTCTTAAGACTGATGCTGTTAAACCAGCAGCTGAACTTCCTTTTCCAGATGTGTAAATTGCAACCGGTGCAACTTTTTCTACAAACTTTAATAACTGTGATTTAGCAGTACCAGGATCACCTAACATTAAAATATTAATGTCTCCTCTTCTACAAAGCCCATCAGGCATCCTTTTTCTAGAACCACCAAACAGTAGGCAAGCTATAGCTTTTTTAATATCCAATGCACCAAAAATACTGGGAGCTATACTTTTTGCAATTCTTTCATATAAATTAGGATCAGATGCAAAACGTCTAAATAAATCTTCCTCTTCATTTGTAACACACGAATGAGTACCTAAACACCATATAAATAAAAAAAGTTTTTTAATAAAAATTTTGTATTATAAAATTTTGTATATCTTACCACTGCCTGTATTTTCCTCATCTACAGAAATACCAATAACTCTTATATATGGTGCTCGAACACCAACTAATGCTTTATCTTTTCCTCCTCCTCTACCAGTAGTTCTAGTAACCTTTTTAATTGAATATATGCCCAAAATAAGAACTCTATTGCCTGGTACAACTCTATCACATAAATAACGATCACAATATAATTGTAAATGTCTGGGCATTTCACCCTGTGGAATTTGATCTGGCAGTTCTTGTAACTTGAGAACTTGAAAATCAACACAGTGACACTTATCTGGCATTATAAAAAATGGATCTAATGGACACTTTGGTCGACCTGCTTGTTCTGTTGTACATTTTCTAGGCAAAACATATCCTTCTAACCCAGGTTTAATTGAAATATTACTTTGCATGTTTCTACACGAACGACATTGTATAGCAATTTTTGTTGCCTTTGCTCTAATTCCAGATGCAGAAACAATAATACCAGGTATTTTAATAAGTTTTGAAACTGCATCAGGCTAAAATAAAATAATATAACTGATATTTGAGGTTATGAATTTTAATATTATATAATATGAAAATTATTTTTTTCCCTTTAAGAACAAAACAAATTAAAATTAAATTTTACTTTGATTCCTCTTAAAGAACTTGGATGTGCATCTGAAGATATTAACACTTGTATATCTTCAACTTTCTCTTCACCATCTGGTCTTGGAGCTGTAAGTTCATCTACCAAATCTTTTGCAGCTTCTTCTAAGATGGGTAAATATTCAGTTGGATGTTTATAAACCTTTTCTGCAAGTGTTTCATCAAAAGCTGCTAGATCTTCTAAATTAATTTCTACCCAATATTGATTCAAATTATAATTACGTTTTAAGGTATCTCTGTAAGATTATTATATTATTAATTTTAAATTGAAACAGCGGTTTGATATATAACATAATTACTAAATTATTGCATATTGTACACAATACAATTCAAGTACCTATATTTGTAATTGAAGTTTCCTTCATGGAATTGTCTAATAAATTCCATAAATTTCTTCTTCGAAAATTGAAGATTTGTTTGAATTTCATTAGATTCACCTATTGAGAAGTTATCGGAAAAGAATATTCCTGGATTATCAAACCCTTCCATTGTAACTCAATTTTGTATTATTTCGATAGTAAAATCTAAGCTTGCAAATCTAAAACTGTTTGGCGGGAATTATTTCATTGATATTCTTCGAACTTTTTAACATAGAATAAGAAGGTAAAGATACGACATTTTTCATATTTTTATATTTAATTATTATTACAAATCGAAATATGTATAAAGTATAAAAGAAATTTAAAATAAATTAAAGATTAAAATGAATGTAAATTAGAGAAAATTTATTTAAAATTAAAAATATTATAAAATCGTTGAAAATTATATGAAGTACTACTGCTGCCATCTGACATGAGACAAAAGAAAGAACACAGAAAGCTGACACAAGTACCTAAATTATTGTGAATTTTCCAATCTACTAGATAGAAATGTAGTTTTTAAGTGATATCATTTACGTCGTAAATTGATCCTGTGGAATTGCAATATTTTATCTATTTTATACTTTATCAAATAAATTTGTGAATATCTTTATATTTGTTACATAATAATCTTCGATTCATGTAAAGGAGAAAGGTTGATACGTGTAAAGTTTATTAAACTCTCTTTGAATTGTTTTACAACAAACTGTCAATTCAATGTAAATAATTTTTAATTTTTAACTAAGGTATTGTATAATCTCATGTTAATAACATTAGTAATGTTAAGTTTATTTGAAAAATGTTTTAATTGAAAAAAGAAATGTACTTTTCATTGTTGAAAAGTATCATAATAGATAAGTATATTATTCTAATTAAGAACTATTAATTAAACGTATTTTTACAAATATATACAATTTTCTTCTTTTTATACATTGTTTTTGTAACTTTATAAATGATGTAAGTATTGTGAGTTTTTATATTTATAAAAGGAAAATATACAAATCAAATTCTTTAATTTTTTGCAAAATATTATTTGATATATAATGAAATATTAGTTTGTATAAAACAATAAAATTTCTTTATGTATAATTTCAATTAATGTCTTAATTATGTATAATTTTGCATTTATATGTTCAATAAAGTTAAACAATTTTTATTGAAGAAAAAAATGACAACAGCTGAACATTAATAAGCTTGGACATTTCCTTAATAGATAATACTTTTAGTAATTTTTATTTAAAAGATATAATTATTTTTACTTATCTTCTAGAATAATATTAATTATAAATTTTATAGATATTTATTACCAGTATGGAAAATTTTTACTTATAATAATTTGTTACACATATTTGATCAGTAATTGTTATAAAGTTATATGTATTATATTAGTACTTATAAACTTTCTATTATTTTATTATTCGTTAACATTTTCATTCAAAATTTTGTTTTTTCAGATTTAAGTATCACTTATAAAAAAATGTCTCCTTATTTAATGAGGAAACGCATCCAAAATTCACAGTTAAAAAAAGAAACCTCAGTATCTAAACCAATAATTGAACCTAAAAATGGAACTAAAAAAATATCAAAAATAAATGATTCTAATGAAACAATAAATGCAAGAATGATGACTCAAATTAAAAAGACAAGGAATAAGAAAAGTAATATATCTATTTCACAAACTAAAAACATTACACAGAAAGAAAAACAGAAAAGAACAAACACTAAAAAGTTATCTAAAGAAGAGATGAATATCACAATACAACCTGAAGAAATTGTCACATCTAATAATTCTAACACGAATAGACGAAAATTAAGAAGTAAAAAAAGGAAAGTTATTATAAGAATAAATAAAAATGTTTCTAATTTAAAACAAATATCTTTAAAAGAATCATTTTTAAACCAGTCGAAAAAAAAATGTTTACGTTCTCATAAAAAATCTAAAAGTTCCATGAATGATACATTAGCAAAAAAGTCAGTTGTAGATAAAAAAAAGTTACCAATATATGAATCTATTTCACCAGAAAATTCTAAAGAAAATACTAATGAAATATATGAATTTAAATTTGATATTAATGACTCAAATGAAAGACTACCAAGGAAACGAAAGAAAAAAGCTACTGTGAAAAAGACATTAATAAACAACAAAAGAAGGAATGTTTCTGTAAAACAAGTTAACAAAAAAAAATCAAATACAAATAAATTTGAAGAAATAAAAAGGACAGATTTTGTTGAATGTAAAAACAAAAATTCTACAGAACCTGTAATTGAAAGTGAAACTAATGTGTTAAAAGATGTGTTAATGGAACCTGTGAAAACAGATGTAAAAGTGAATAAAGAACTAAGAGATTCGGAAAATGTAATTAAAAATGTAACTGTTGATGAAACAGTTACAAAACCTACAATTATATCAATAGAAAATTTAAGTGATACAAAAATTTCAATGATGAATACCTCACAAACATCAAACTCAAATGATTTCAAAGCATTTAAGCCAACAAATATTTTCAATAACAGAAAAAATGTGCTTAATTATTCTTTATTTGAAAAATCCTTATCACCAATTGTAAAATCATTTGAAAATCCTCAAATGTCTTCTAGTCCTTGGAGACCATCACCGTTTCATGCTTTCTCTCAAGTAGAAAATGTAGTTCAAAGTACACCTCAAAGTAATAAATATGATGTTTTGAATAGAAGATTTTTGCGAACATTATATAATGAATCTAAACAGAACAGAGTTATAGCGAAAGCAAAAAATGGTTTACAAAAGAATAATGAAAATATGAGTTCAGAAAGGCAGATAAGTAGTATTCCTCCAAAAAGCAAAAATTCTTTCAGGAAATTTGGCACTGAAATTACAAACATAGATCAATCCTTTCAGTCTAAGTCTTCAATTGAGCGAATACCAACTGAAATTGAAAACATCCAACCAAATATACAATCAATCAGTGCAACATCTTCTAATGTAAATAATATATTTAATTTTGAGAATAATGAAAATAAAAAGAGTAACGTGTTAAGCCCAAAAAAGAACTTTAAAGAAGAAATAAAAAATGTTGGAAGCAAAATTCATCAAGAACATGTATTAGGTATGCAAACTGATGAACAAAGAGAAATTTTTGATCCTCAACCTGGAACATCAGGTTTGCAAAGCCAATTATCAATTCCTAAACCAAGAAGCATATTATGGCAATCAAATTTAAATAACTTTTTAAATATAATGGAAATGCCTCAGAACACTGCAATCAAAACAACACATGGAATTTTTGATGATATAGAAACAACAGCAATTAGTAGTAGATCAGTGACAAAGATCAATAAATCTAATATGGATTTTAAAAATGCATTTGGTTTTAGTGATGAAGATTCTGATCAAGGAATTTCTTCTACTCAAGGAAAAATTAAGAATGATAAAGAAAAAACACCTACTCAGTTAAAAACTGGCCTAAAGAATAAGAAGTTTGTTACACGATTATCAATTGATGAGATTAAAAATAAATTAGTAACTAAAAAATTAAAAGAGGAAGTACATAATAAAGAAAATATATTAATTGAAAACAAAAAAACGAAAAAGTTACCTATTGAGAAAAAAAACAAACAAATTGATATTGTTAACTTTTCTGATACCTTTGATGTTTTATCTGAGACAGGTGTAGCAAATTCTACATCTAATATTCCATTATTTACTGATCTTGAACCATCTCATTTTACAGAGGTATATTGTTTATAATTACTGTTAATTAAGTTTTAGAAATTGTTAACAATTCTTTTATATAAATATGTACATATTTTAGCCTCCACGACACTCGTATAAACGAAATCGTTCCACAAGTTTTAGTTTTTTAGAAGAAAATGAAGAAGAGGAAGAAAGAATGTTTGCACATGAAATAAAACGAAAGAAAACTAATAAATTAAAAAAGGAGCAAGAAAAAAGATTGATGGAGTGGATTGAAGATATTAATAAAACATTTAGTGAAGTTGATCAACATGAACTTGTAATCGAATAAACTATTAACTGTTATTGTTATTATAAGAAGATGAAAGATGTCTTACCATTTTTTTTTCTAACAATATATAAATTTATAAAACAATGCTTGAATACAATAAGTTCTTAATAATATTATATTTATGCATAAAATATTTACTTACATAATTTATTATAAACTTAATATAATCATATAGTGATATTTGTATAAATAATTTTTGTTTATTTTGCATATTTTTTATATTATTAAAAAAAATATATATGTAAAAATTAATACAATAAATTATATAAGTAAAAACATAATAATAAAAACTATACATATTTGCATTATATATATGTACGTGTAAATTATTTGAATTTGACAAATAAATAATTTATGTATTTATGCAATAATAAGTTTTGGGAATTTTGGTCATTGTATCTTAAATCAGTCTCTAAATAATGTTATTGTATACTTCTTACAGCTTCATATACTCATTTACCTTTTTCTAAAATTTTTTAATAATTCATTAAATATTATTTAATTTTGTAGATTTATATTAAAATATATTTTATTTAATTAATAAACAATTTATGTAAATTTAGGTACATGTAAACGTACTTATGTGTAAATGTTTTCAATTATATCATGTGTGTAACAACTTATGCATATATAAAGGGTCATTTTTGTAAAATCTTCACGTACATATTGTTTTTATACAAGTTATGTATTTCAACAAATTAAAATTATACATAGTATGCGCGCGCAGATAAATGTCAACTATTGGATCAGATTTCCATTATTCTCTGTTTCCTTGATACAACTTTTAAAGAAAATTTTTAAAGGGAAACTACTAAATATTTATAGTGAGTATTTTTAAAAAATTATTATATACCACTTTTAATTAAAAACAATAAATATATTATTTCCGTTATCAATTTTAGTCACTATTTATGTAGGTTAAAAACCTTAAGAATTATCGACTAAACTATACTATATATTAAAATTATGTGGAATAAAAAATTTTCATTAAACATATTATTGAAAATTATTTTCAAATATGATAATGAAGAATTTTGATATACTTAATATTAATACACGTTCTACATATATTACAAGATATCCTAGCTCAATCATTAATTACGACATTACTGTTAAAAAGAAGATAAGAATAGAAACAAAGATCATCCTTTCCATGATTAAATACACTTTTTCTAGGAATGATTCAATTAAAAAATTTATTGCAATATAAATGATTTTATGAACAATATATAACAAAGTATTGGAAATTTATGATATTAATGATATTGCTCTTCTTTATGTATCTTACATTTTACGAATGATGTAAGAGTATATTATTACATAATACATGTATAAAGGACACTAATTTCATAAGATATGTATTCTTAGCGTATTTATTTGTAATTTATTACCGTTTGACTAATTGGTTACTGACTTTACATTTATGAGTTAATATTTAATTTATAAGTATTATATAAGAAACAACCACTTTTTACATTTAACCGAGTTTCTAAAAGTTCAAGGTTTCTTTAAATGCAACTTTACCGTAAGGTAAATATTTTTTTAAGATTATCTTTTTTTTAATATACGCATTAAAAACAAACTATTAAGACGAATATTGGAAAATCTAGATTAAAAAATTAAATAATCATACTAACACATTATTTCTAATTTGTCTATTTTAAATAAGTAATTATTTTCTATATTGATGATACAAATGATAATTTGAGAGTGTTATCCTTTAGGATACTCTTATCGCATGGAATTACACACATAGAATTTTTGTCATACTTGAGGACCTCTTATAATTATAATTACGTAAATTGAAATTAAGTCGCGAATTACGAAAAAGTAAAGTGATGCGTTTTTAGTGCTATTGAAAAAAAACGAACGGAATGTTGTGCAGCTTGTTCAACACCATGACATACAATTTACAGTAATTACCTTCAAAATATTCTGTGTTTCTTATACTCAAATGCATTTACGTATGTACATATATATATATTAAGAGAACTCTGTCAGAAAGTAGGTTTGGAACGAAGATAGCGCATGGAAAAGGCGCATTTATATATATACCTAATATACTGGAGAAATACTATACAGATTATATATATACGTCGTATGACAAGATAAGTCAATAATCTCTAACATTTGTTTTTATATATTTATTAATCCTTTATTTCTGTATCCACGATTTTTCTGTTTCTATTATTTCTTGATATGGTTAAAACACTGCTCATGCATATCAATAAATATAGATAAAATTTACTCTTAAAAATTCTAAAGTATTGTACTTATTGATACGATTTTTATATTAATTAAAAAATGAGCAACAAGAATATAAAACGTTTGGTTTATAGTCTTTTTTATTTACTAATAAATAAATATGTCCAATATCTTATCAATAGTTATTTAATCCATGTATAATAATGATAGTCTGTTGATTGTATGCGTATTGTAACATAATATCTACATTATAATATGTATGCTACGTATGTATGAGCCCGTGCATGTGCGAGTATGTTGTGTATATTTTACATGTAATCAATTCAAGCGCAAAATAATTACAAATAATACATAATTAATTTAATCACAAAGAATTTACATTAAAAAAAAAATATTCTAAGGAAGTATAAGAGCCTCCTACATAGCAAACGTATTTATAGTTGCGCTAGTCACGTATGTCATACCCTTCTTGAATTGTGGTACATGCCATTGTATTGCATGCATTTTCTCGTATATATCATAAAAAATATATTATTACAGCTTAAATTTATTTGAATTATTACAATAATAGTAAAAATTGTATATTAATAACAGCAAAATACTTTTAATTTTCATGAAGATCGTATTACGCGTAACTTAATACATAACTGTGATATTATCTTCATTTCACAATTAATTAATTTCATTTCCCGTATTTACTTTTGCAATCTAAAAATAAATTTTATTGTTTACATATAATTGATTTGTGCTCCAAACAATAAAGAAAAACTTATTTCGAAATCATTTTTACGCAATTGGAATAAAATAGTAAAATAGGTTGAACGTATATAAACTTATATCAATACATATATGTCGAAAATTAATATTTGTATAAAAAGATATACGAATCATTTTTGTTTATTAAATATGAGAGTTTATTAATATTTGAATTTATGTAATGGTATTATATCGATTATGATCAATATTTTTATTGAATGTGAAAGTTAAACTACTTCCTACAGTTAAAGTGTAAAATCAAATCAGATAACACCAAATATGCAAACAGCTACAAACGATACATTTATTAAATATGCAAGGCAAATTGTTTATAATACGAATATTTTCTATCTCGAAAAAATGAAAAGCTTATTATTGTTTCTCATCTTTGTACTCATAATAAATATGCGACTAGTAAAACGTTATTTGTCTGAAGCGGATATCTTATCAAATTAACATTACTAAATATATTTCTATGCTTGATACTACCCACTGTTTCATCATTATTAATTTCATTGTGTAACCTATAGCAATATTACACTATGCATAATTATGTACTCATAAAAAAAAGTATAAAAGTTTTTCATAAAAAATTCGACAAAATCAATTAATTACAGAGAAGTAGGTAGCTCAACAAAATTTACTTCAAAATATAAAAATGGGGATACGAATGAAATGCTAACGATATTAATTAAGTTGAAACATACTGCATCAATTATATGTGTGAAAGGAAATCTGCGTATACCTATCCAATTGCATATATGAAATTGAGTGCGTATAATAAGCCATAACACAATTATATGTAACTATGTGTAAAGTAGGTCGACATATATGTATCGTACCAAATACAATGTAACTTAGATATAGCAAACAATTTACCTCCTCATACCTTTTACTTATGTTACATTTTATTAATTATGAATTTTCTTACAATTTCGATTAAATTTCTACCTTAATTAAAAATAACAAAAAAAGAATTACAGCTTGCTTTTAACGGTTAACTTTATAATGTTTAATGTAGTATACTTTCTAATAAACTTAGAAATTATAAATACAAATGTTTCGTTTAACATAATTATGTGTATACCTAATTAAATAAAATAAAAAATTAAAAGAATAATTGTATAAGTTGGATATATCGAAAAAAATTTATTCAATGCGCTAAAAACGTATGTGACAAAGTATTGCGTTCCAGAAGTTACGTAGAATAAAGCATCAAGGATACAAACCAAAATTACGTCGCATTAGAAAGATACAAATGTTTATCATATTGAATGTATTACAAAAAACTATTTATACATTCGTCGGTACTATTATATATTTCATTTAAAGTAATAAAAATATTACTTCTAATTAACTATCAGTAGCTCTGTGTAAAGAACAACTACTTTCTATTTGCGATTTATAAGACCATTCCACTCATTTGATCGAGTAAGTACTATCAGAACCAAAGATTTCTATTTAGTGAAATTACAGAAGTACAAATGTATAGGAAATGTATCGAATAATATGAAAATTGTATATTGAAGACAAACAAATTAAAATTTCAATTTAAGATTAAGTTGGGAAGACTTTTTACTTCTTAATTTATTAAAAAGTGTACTTTTTTTGTTTATGTAATATGATTATCAATTTAAAATTTAGATTGTTAATAAGATCAAATTTGATATGTACGATCTAATAATTATGTGTAAATTTGTTAAACATACATTTATTAAAAATTCAACCAATACTTAAAAAATTCTAAGAAGAAGATACTTGCCATATGCTTATCATTTTACGCAATAAACATTAAATTAACAGCGCAGGGGTGCAGTGAATTACAGAAGAATTGCCATAATCTTTCACAGAGCAGTGCCTAAAGGATAAACGAAAATGGTGGGGTGTTTGGTCGGGACAAATACATTCTCCCCACCTTTCGAAACAAATTCCCCTACTCCTCTAAAACGTTAGCACGTCGCGGTTCGCTATCGCACGGAATCACGGACAAATCAAACATGGCGATTCAGTCGCTGTTTGCAGTGAAGGCGTACGGTTCGTAAAACGGTAGTGGAAGGTATTGGTGGATGAAATAGTGTTTTTAAATGGTAATGATTGTTTGTACCACTGCGGCTCGCCGAATTTTGGTCAATATTACAAATATGGAGAATCATGATGTCAAAACAGTAATGGAGAAAGTGTCAGATGGCATTGATAAAGTACGTGACGTGAAGGGCGTACAAGCAGAGCCGACGCCTGCGGCGTCATCGTTACCTGCTTCGGACCAAGTGTCGCTCTCTACTGGAGAAAATATAAACAAATATGAATATATCAATAGGAAAACCGTAAGACACTTGCTTTATTTTGAATGTTTTAAAATATTATGCTATATAAAAATTTTAATTAAAGTAATACTATAAATAATACTTGCATGAAATTATATATTATAATGTGACATAATTAATTATGATAATTAAAATATTAATTTAACTTTTTTTATGTTCTAGTGTTCTAAATTATTAGTAAAAAATTCTAAAAAATTTGAAAGTGGTAGTGGTAGTGGAGATCAAGAGGGAGGTCAGCATGAGGATGGAATTGATATTGCAGCAAAAAAAAGAAAGACTCGTAGAGGTAAACCTAAGCATAGAAAATTAAAACCATATTCAAAACAACAGTTATCGTATCACCAACAGCTGCGACATAGATATAGAGGTCGATTAGCAAAAACTGGTAGACAGCCTCCAGCACCATATAATACTACACAATTCCTTATGGACGATCACAGTGATCTTCCAAATCTTGACCAAAAGCTTTTAGAAGAATTATCTGCTACCTTTCAAAAACCATCAGCCCCTTCTCGTACACGAGATTCTAGTTTCAGTGTTGACTCTGATGAGGATTATTTCTATTCGTCTCCAGAAGATGAAGAAGAATTCTTGACAAAAGAATTCTCAACTGCATATGAAGATCTTCATGCTGAAAGATTAAGTACATTAAGTAAATCAGAACTGATACAGGAATATCTGCAATTAGAAGCAAAAGTAGATTTATTGACAAAACGACTACGTGGTAAAAATTTTCATCAAACAGAACAACGGGACTTGGAAAGCAACAGTAGTAGTACAGATTCAGAATCAGCAAAGAAATTAAAAATCTGTCAACAACGGATTGATGATTTAATACAACAAAATGAACAGTTAAAGCGAGAAAATGAATCATTAAGGGCTGAAAGGCATGGCAGTCCAGTTTCAAGTGTTGATAGCGAAAGCGACAGTGATAGTACAAGTGATGGGAATAGGAGCAGCTGTAGTCTGGGATTTGTTTATATAAGTAAAAGTAATCGAGGTACAGACACCTCTGTGTCTAGTACTGATAGTAAAAGTGATACTTGTGATAGTAGCTCAAGTGAGAATTCTAAAGCATCTATGACCCCAGTTAATCTTTCAAATGGCCATGTACCCATTCAAAAAATTGATGATCTCCCTACATAAATTATAAAGAGCTGTTTTTACATACAAAAGTCTATTCAATGTTTTATGAATTAACGTACAAGTCATATTAAATATGTCACTGGTCCTGCATATTTGCTTTACTCCTATCAGTTTAGGAAGCAAGACTGGTTTAAATGCAACATTGTTGTATGTACTTATGCAACAAAAATCCTCTTCCTGATACAAGATATGTAACCTTAGATTATCCTTAAATGTGCCCTTACAATTTCTTTTCCATATTTCTGTTAAGACTGTTTTGTGTAAACTTAAATATGTAACGAAGTAGGAAATACATACCTAATCTTATGGAAGAGTAAAGTTTATATCTGTGCAGGCTAGATTGTTATGTGCTTGATAAAATTTGCAAAAGAATTGTATATTTGTAGTGTATTTTCTATAATAGTATTTTATCTTCAGTTGGTACTAATTATGATATAGTTGGACTAATTATTTTTTAATAGCCTGTTTTCAATGAACTGCCATTTGATGGTACAAAATGTATAAATTTGGGGTTTACAGACTATCAACTAATAAATTATAAAACTAGGTCTAATTAAAAATATAATTTAATATTAAAGATAATGTGATATTGTATAATTGTGTAAATTTAAAATATCAAATTAGATATTAGTTTATAGTCTGGATATATGATGTGTTAAAAACATTTAACTTGAAATTTTTAATTTTAAAATTTTTAATAAATTTCAAAGTTTTTTTTTTATTATGATTATTCTCCTGAAACTTGATGAAAAGCAGATAATGAGTTTCATCGAAGACGAATCTTCAACAATGTGAATATGTCTGATTATGAGATAGCTTTATTATAGTAGAACATATGATTCACAAACAAATTTAATAAATATATTGTTACTATTATAAGACACATTGTAAAATGTACATAAAATTTTTTTCATTTGTTAAAAATGATAAATAAGACACTGTGTACAACAAATTTTTTTGAGAAATGAATTTAAGTAACAAAGCTAATTACATTATTCGTATTTACATATAGAATATAATTTCTCATTTTTTTTTATCAATTACGATAACAAATTTTTAATTAAAACATATTGGCTTAATTAGTAATATAAGTATTATTCATTATTAGATTAGTTTGAAACGTTCTTTGTGTTTATTGTGAATCAGGCTTAATACACTGTGAAACGTTGCTAACTTCGTGGCGCGTGAAATTGAAAAGCACGCAAGGCCAGCATTTGGTCATATCGTATGGCTGAAGTGTTAACAAGTTTCTAAAAGTTATTGTCGGACGAAATATTATGAAAACGATGTCTCATCATTATGTGGTAACGGCACATAAGCCCACAGCTGTCACCGCATGTGTGACAGGTAAGAATAAGTGGATATATAAAAAAAATTCTATGCTTACGTAGATAAACAATTATTTTCTTTTTACGTATCAAGGTAATTTTACTTCGCCTACGGATTTGAACCTGATCTTAGCAAAAAATGTTCGATTAGAAATATACCTTGTTACTCCAGAAGGTTTAAGACCATTAAAAGAAGTTGGAATCTATGGAAAAATTGCAGTCGTTAAATTTTTTAGACCACCGGTAAGGTTATATTGGTATCTTTGTTTCATAACTTTCATAAATTATTCTTTTTTTACCATATTTCTACATTAATATTTGACAAAATGGATTTTAATTGTAAATTATATATTTACAATATTTGAAAAATTTGATTAAAATAATATAACCTTGTACATACAAAGAATTAATTATTTTTGATTTACACATATAAATGTATGTAATAATAAATTAGTATGAATTTTAAATCATTATAAAATGAATTAGTCTATAATTAATGAATTGTAATATCTCTACAGCATGAAAAAAAAGATCTTTTGTTTCTTTTAACTACACGTTACTATGCTATGATTTTGGAATGTATCGGAGAAGGGGAAAATATAGAAATCATAACGAAAGCACGTGGAAATGTAGCAGATCGTATTGGAAAAGCTTCTGAAACAGGAATTAAAGCTGTGATTGATCCAAAAGCACGTGTAATTGGTCTGCGATTATATGATGGTTTATTTAAAATTATACCTCTTGATAAAGATAATCCAGAATTGAAAGCATCGTCAATACGTATGGAAGAACATCAAGTGCAGGATGTAAATTTTCTTCATGGGTGTGCTAATCCTACCTTGATATTAATTCACCAAGATATTAATGGAAGACATGTCAAAACACATGAAATTTCTTTAAGAGATAAGGAATTTGTTAAAATACCTTGGAGACAGGACAATGTAGAACGTGAAGCTATGATAGTCATTCCTGTACCTTCTCCTATCTGTGGTGCAATAATAATAGGTCAAGAAAGTATATTGTATCATGATGGGAATACATATGTTGCTGTTGTACCACCAATTATTAAACAGAGTACTATTACATGTTATGCTAAAGTTGATAATCAAGGACTTCGATATTTGCTAGGAGACATGGCTGGACATTTATTTATGTTATTTGTGGAGCAGGAAAAGAAATCTGATGGTACACAAGTTGTGAAAGATTTGAAAGTTGAACTTTTAGGAGAAATTAGCATACCAGAGTGCATTACATATTTAGATAATGGAGTAATATTTGTTGGTAGTAGACTGGGTGATTCACAGTTAGTTAAATTAATTACAAAAGCAGATGAAAATGGTTCCTATTGTGTCCCAATGGAAACTTTTACTAATTTAGCACCAATAGTTGATATGGCAGTAGTTGACCTTGAAAGACAGGGTCAAGGACAGATGGTTACATGTTCTGGAGCTTTTAAAGAAGGTTCTCTTAGAATCATTAGAAATGGAATAGGTATTGAAGAACATGCAAGCATAGATTTACCAGGTATCAAGGGTATGTGGGCATTAAAAGTTGGTGGTGGTAACTTTGATAATACCTTGGTTTTATCTTTTGTTGGACAAACCAGAATTTTGACTTTAAATGGAGAAGAAGTTGAAGAAACAGATATTCCCGGTTTTGTTGCTGATGAACAGACTTTCCATACTGGTAATGTTACAGATGATTTATTTATTCAAATAACACCAACATCTGCCAGGTTAATTTCACATGAAACTAAAACAGTTGTTTCTGAATGGGAACCAGAAAATAAAAGAACTATTAGTGTAGTTGCTTGCAATGGCACACAAGTACTTTGTGCTACTGGAAACGACTTATTTTACATGGAAATTTCATGTGGACAAATTTTATCAAAAGGATTTGCTACTTTACAATATGAAGTTGCTTGTTTAGATATTTCTCCATTGGATGGTAATACCGAAGCAAAAATAGCTGCAGTAGGTTTATGGACACATATTTCTGTTCATATCTTAACTTTACCTGCCTTGGAAGAAATTAATAAAGAATTACTTGGTGGGGAAATTATACCTAGATCTATTTTAATGACATGTTTTGAAGGTAATACATATCTATTGTGTGCTCTTGGAGATGGTAGCATGTATTACTTTACTTTACATAAACAAAATGGTATGCTTTCTGACAAAAAAAAAGTTACCTTAGGTACACAACCAACAGTCCTAAGAACTTTCAGATCATTGTTCACCACTAATGTTTTCGCATGTTCTGATAGGCCTACTGTAATCTACTCATCAAATCACAAACTAGTATTTAGCAATGTTAATTTAAAAGAAGTAAATCATATGTGTTCTCTAAATGCAGAATCATATCCTGATAGTTTAGCATTAGCAACCGATAGTACAGTGACAATCGGAACGATCGATGAAATACAAAAATTGCATATTCGAACTGTTCCTCTTGGAGAATCACCAAGGCGAATTGCTTACCAAGAAAGTTCTCAAACATTTGGGGTAATATCAATGCGTGTTGATATCCAGGATAGTAGTGGTGTTAGTATTGTAAGACATTCTGCATCTACACAAGCAGCTTCTACATCTAGCACCAGTCACATGGCATCTTGCAATAGACCTACAGGACATACAGCTAGTGACATTTGTCAAGAAATTGAAGTGCATAATCTACTCATTATCGATCAACATACTTTTGAAGTTTTACATGCACACATGTTAACACCCACTGAATATGCACTGTCATTGATATCAACAAAGTTAGGTGGAGATCCCACTTCCTATTATATAGTTGGAACTGCTCTTGTACATCCAGATGAAACTGAGCCAAAAATGGGTAGAATACTTTTATATCATTGGAATGATGGAAAACTTACACAAGTTGCTGAAAAAGAAATCAAAGGATCATGTTATTCTTTAACTGAATTCAATGGAAAACTTCTTGCTAGTATTAATAGCACTGTTCGCTTATTTGAATGGACTACAGATAAAGCACTCAGATTAGAATGCAGTCACTTCAATAATATCATTGCTCTTTACTTGAAAACAAAAGGAGATTTCATTTTAGTTGGAGATCTTATGCGATCTCTTACATTGCTCCAATATAAAACAATGGAAGGTTGCTTTGAGGAAATAGCAAGAGATTATAATCCAAATTGGATGACTGCCATTGAAATTTTAGATGATGATACCTTTTTGGGTGCTGAAAATTGCTTCAATCTGTTTGTTTGTCAAAAGGACAGGTGAGTTATATGCATGATACATTTTTATCATGCGTATATGTAATAACAACAATAAATTAAAATGTATTTTAGTGTCGCTAATCCAGATGATGATAGACAACAAATGCAAGAAGTTGGACAATTTCATTTAGGTGATATGGTTAATGTTTTTCGACATGGATCGTTAGTAATGCAGAATTTAGGTGAATCAAGTACACCCACACAAGGCTGCGTATTATTTGGAACGGTTAGCGGTGCGATTGGTTTAGTTACACAAATTCCATTTACGTTTTATGAATTCTTAAAAAACCTTCAAGACAGATTAACAAGTGTGATAAAAAGTGTTGGTAAAATAGAACATAACTTTTGGAGAAGTTTTAATACTGAATTAAAAATCGAGGAATGTGAAGGTTTTATAGATGGAGATTTAATTGAAAGTTTTCTTGATTTGAGTCCTGATAAAATGGCAGAAGTTGCGAGTAATCTTATGGTAAATATAAGTGCTTTTTAAATTATATATATAATTTATCATATTTTTCTGTATTTCTTTACTTTGGCATTTATAGATTGACGATCCTAGTGGTATGAAAAAAGAGGCAACAGTGGATGATCTTGTAAAAATTGTTGAAGATCTTACAAGAATACATTAGATGTAGTTTTTTGGCTGATTTGTATAGTTTATTATATTTTGAGAAACTCACAGATAAATTGATAAGAAAGTCTTAAATGTTTGGGAAACAAATTAAGAAATGTATATACAATTATCTATTTATCATTAATAGCATAAGAAAGCAGGAAAATATATTTTCTTCTTTGTTTTTGTGAAAATATTTTGTTATGTATGCCTGTACTCTTGTACTTTAATTACATTATTATAAGAGTTCGCTTCAAGTACTTGTACATGCACATATGAAAGTTAATTAAAAAATTTTTAAACTTATTTTAACACTATACTATTCATATAAATTAATAAAACTGATCTTCAAATATCCTTTCAATGTGCATATCTATTTCGATATTCTATTAATCGCGATGCCAAACAATATATTTGTAATAATAATTAATAACATTTATCTTTTAAATAGTACTTATTTCAAACGAATTTAAAAAATTTCTAATCAATAGTTTTATAATTACTATGAAAGTTACTTTGTTTTTTAAATCTCTCAAAAGTGTATTAAAGACTATATAATTAGTTATATTGTCACTAAGTTAAAAAACTCTTGTATGCGCAATATTAAATAACGAATTTCACTTTTCATAATAGCAAAATTTGTTATTTAAGTTTCCACTTCTAACTTTCCATTTAAAAAATTTTCCATTTTTGAGTGTAATAAACTAATAAATTTGACAAAAGTTTAATAACGATTTATATTATAATAGAATTAGTGTTAATTATAAAAGTTATTCGTAGAATCTTTATATCTTGTAACATTGAGTGTAAATAAAAAAAGAATATCTACTTCATGATAAAATTGTAACATACTATATATTAAGTTTACTTATTTACACTTATTGCAGATTTTAAAGTAAGTGGATCAAATAACCAGTTTCTTAATTTTTCAGTACCTTCACCAGTCATTCCACTAGTTTCAAATATAGTTAACTCTTGTATAGTTTCTTTTTTTAGTCGTAAATATTGAAGCATAAGTAAAGCTTCATTGCGCATTTGACGATAAGAAAGATCCATTTTATTCAGTGTTAGTGCAATTTTTATATTATGTAATCTAGGATCAACTAATAATGAGTAAAGTAATACTCCTGCTGCGCTTATTTGACAAAGGTTGCTTGCATCTATCACATAAATAAGCTTCTGTATCTAAAAACCATAAAATAAATTTAAAAAATTAAAAATTAATTTTAAAATGAGTTTAAAATAACGATTTATCTTTATTATTAAAATTTACTGAAAAAATTCACCTTATCAAAGTAATGTTTCCATATTGGTGCCATACTACCACCAATTTCTTTAATAATCATATCAAATTCTCCAGTATTGTTTTTTATTGTAAAAAGATTTATACCATTCGTAGAAACGGTATGAGTTGCATTGTCTATTTCATCTCCTTGTAAACGTTTCATTAAAAATGTTTTACCTGATTTAATAGGGCCAAGACAAAGGCACATTTTAAATTTATGATATGATTATATTTCAGAAACGATAAGTTATTTATATTTTCGAAAATTGGTTATAAATTTTGTACATATATGTACAGAAATCTATTGATTTAACAAATATGTTTCTATAGTGAATATTATCTGTTACATTTATATTAATCGGTTATTTTATTGTAAAAATCTAAAATAAAATTTAAAAGAATACTTAATATTCAAAATAAAATTCATGAAGTGAAACTTAATAAAATATGGGTATAAAATATAAATATTTTTTTTCAAATTCGATTTAATTAAACAAATTTTAACAATCAATATGAGGTTTAGGTATTTCATTAGACGTTTCGTAATTTTCGTACAATTTAATATACAAAATTTTTGAATTGTATACATTACTATCACTAATTTACATAGAAAATTTGTTCTCAAAGACAAATACTACAAACCTTGTCAAAGATACAAGAACAGAGTTTTATTATTATATGTAACAAATACTAGATACACAATAAACTTATAAAATACAACATAGTATGTTCATTGATGTGCATGTAAATGATTATATAATTGTATAAGTACAGTACGAATCGAATGAAATAATATATATTACAGACAAAGCAAAAATATAAAACCACATGTAATTACTATAATTCTTTAAAAAATGTTGTATAATTTAATTATATAATATATAATATAGACAGATTTCTTTAACATATATATTTAATTCTAACGTCTTCTGTTAATAACATCGGCAGAAATACATTTCTTTGTTATTGTTTAATTTATTAAAAAATATATTAATTATAAATAATAATAATAATAATAATAATAATAATAATAATAATAATAATAATAATAATAATCAAAAATAATCAACAAGAATATTATTGCAACGATTCTTCAGAAAGATATGCATTCTATCGATGCGATCAAACTCATGCTTCTTATTGATTTAATTCAAATAAATTTTTCCATATTAAATGATTTTACATACTTCGATCCTTTGCACTTATCAAGCAAATTATGAAATGTTGTCAGCCACCTATAAATTTAATATAGAACAATAAATTATTATTAGCATTTACATTTACTATGTTACTGCTTAGTAAGTATTTAGATAACACTTCAAATATATATATGCAGGTACAAACAAAAATAACAAGTGCAAAGGTTCAAGAATTTTAAACTATAAAGCTTGAATTTTTTTTTTTGTAATTTTGTTTATATTTTTTGTATTTTTATTAAAGAATATTAAAAAAAGACATTTCATGTTGCACAAAGGCACAGGTGTACTTCCAGTAGCGTAATTTGACAAAATCGAATAAAGAACAAGAATTTACTACATTCTTTAAATATACTCTGAATATCGCGAAATAATAAAATATTTCAATCGCGATATTAATAATTTATCTAATTTTTTGTACAAATGTATTTATATTATTTATGTGCATTTACTCGTAAATAAGACTTTGTGTGTGTGTATGAGGGATGAGGGGCGCACGAGTGCATATATACATACATACATACATATACACATTACAAATTAAGTCCTTTAAATCTGTACAATTACTTCGTAGAAATTTATTATAGATAAATTGTCCCCCAAGTTTAATAATATTTTTCTTAGGAGCACGACTAGACTAGGATCTATCAGTTCAAGCTTAAATCACCTTCTATAGCAAAGATCGTACTTCTCGAGGCATTTGCCATGACTGCAAACGTTTATCTTTACTACCAGCTATAATCTAAGAAAATAAATGTCTGAATGTTAGGTTTATGTAACATTTTAATAATGTTCTACTAGATTATTTTAGATACCTTATTGTCTACGACGTCCATACTTAATAACATATTACCAGGTCCAGGTATGCTACAAACAAGTCGATGATCCTAGAATTTGTTTAAAAATTAATACAACTTCTTATTATTAAGTTTTAAGTTTGATATTAACCTTTGTATCAAATACATAAATATTTCCATCATAACAACCAGCAAACAATAACTGTTTGTACAAACGCATACACACGATTCCTACACCAGCATCATACTGCATTGTTTGTTCACCATTCTATAAAATATAAAGAAAGAAAGAATGATTTTATGTGATGATATAATCTTATAATAATAATATAACAATGTGTATCATAAAGTCAGTTTTACAAACCGTAAAATCGAAGACCGGTATAGACGTACTGCTAGTACCACAATAAATTAAATTATTATCTCGCATCAAACTATACACTGTGTGACTTTTTTGACCGCAAATTGTGCGAAGAAATAGGCCGCTCTGAGCGTCTCGTATTGTAATCGGTTGACTACGCGATGCTACTATAAGAACTCTTCGTGGACCCTCATTAGTTGCTTTTAATGCTAATACAGATTTCTCCGAGAATTGTATGCTGTTTCCTTTAATAACACCTGACTAAAATATTCATTTTTTATTATAAAGGTGATATTCGTACATATACAGGGTATAAAAGCAATTTTATCTATAATATTTTTGAACAAACCTTCATATGATAACGCGATACATGGCCTGATTTGGTTCCAATAAAAATCATTCCCCATGCTTCATCCATACATTGTATTGGGCTACCTATATCTGCCGTATCTCTTACTTGTACTCCAGTCTAATGAAATTCATTTATGCAGGAAACTGAACTGTAAGATATCTGTTAGATTCATAAATAAACATATTACTTACCATTATGTTGTAACATCGTAAAGATCCATCCAATGATCCAGAGAACATCCATTCTTTGCTAACATCTGTGTTGTTTAAGTTGTACACATATAGACAAGTTACTGCAGCTTTATGACCTTTGTAAATGTTTAAAATTCCATTAGATGCTTGATTATATCTATATATTCTGCCATCTTCACTTGCAGCTAGGAATGAATTCTCAAAAACCTAGAAGATATACTTGTTTGTATAATTTATTGAATCTAGTCTAATTTTTGAGATTCTCACAAAGTGATCTGTAATACTAATATTAAACACAACAAAAGTTGTTTATAGAAAATAGAGAATGTAATTTCATTATTGCATAAATCAGATAAAGGAAAACAATGAATGAAAATTTGAAAATTGAAAATTTTATTAATATCTTTTTTTGTGTTTATATACTTACACATACTCGCGCGCGCGTATATGCATGAGTATACTATATGGGTGTATGTGCACGCGCGCATATGTGTATGTTTATATATAGGCGCGCGTATGTGGGTGGATATTATATGTGTACGCGTGTGCGTGCACGCGAGAGTGTGTATAATGTATATTATATGATTATATACATTAATAATATATTGCCAACATTTGTAATAGAAGCTTCTATAACATTAGATAAAATCTGGTGGCAAATAAAACATAGCAATAAAATATACTGTTCTATAAGAATTAAAGATAGAAGAAAGAATTATAGTTTTTTTTTTATTTTATAAGATTATTTTATAAATCCTGCATATTATTATACGAAAACTAATAATGTTTTAACTCAAACAAATCAAGAAAACTTATGAACGTAGATATTACTTTAATATTTTCATCGTATTTTTTTCTTTTTTTTATTACGATACTGTCGTTTCTTTACCTTAATATCTAAAATAGGACCTTTATGAACTGTATATTGTGTTCTTGGTAATTCCTTATCGTCCTTTGTATCTATCACAGTCAATGTCGATCCAGAATTAGTATGTTGTTGATTTTTGGTAACTATCATTTTTTCTTCAACGATTTCAATATCTGGTTTATCACAATTTTGTCTAATGTCCACATTAACTGGTTCCTTTATTAAAACTGGCATAACTTCGACATCAGGATCTGTAAATTCTTTATCGTTTACAGATGAATCCATCTTTGCAGATTTCAATATCCTTTTAATTTTAACGGGATTTATTTGATCGCTAGATGGTTGTGTTGTATCTTCGAATTTATTAATTAACTTTGGAGTTTGATTTTGCGGCAATTCAGTCAATGAAGTTGTTTGTTTTATGCATACAGTTGACAAATCTTTGGTTGATGCTGATTGTGTAGAACTTACAAAAGAATCTATTTCGGTAGAATTGGGACACGTAGGTTTATTAACTGTAGATATTCTATATTTTTTTAATGTATCTATGTTTGCAGTTGCGTTCAAAATCGTATGTTTGCAATCTACTACTCGTACTACACAATTCATCATTTCGAACATTGTATGCTTTTTATGCCTTTTAATTCCTTTTAATGATTCATTGTTCGAATTCAATTCGTCAGCTAGAATTTCAATTTCTGGAAATACGGGTGTGCATCGCTTTTTATTTATTAATGGTTTTTGAATATCGCGACTAATTCTAGGATTTATCAATATTGTTTCAACTTCTGCGCATGGTGATACTGATGTCGATACCATACTTGGTAACTGTATACTGAAATTTTTTTCTTGAACTTCTTGTTCGGTATTTGAAGCAGTTACGTCAGCTTCTAGTTTTATACGTTTCGCAGGTTCTTCAGTATATCTTGAACTTCGTCGAAGAGGAGTCTTACTATTTCCTCTTTTACGCTTAGCAGGTTTTCTACCCAATGTTTCATCGCTTTTCGATGTCCCTATGTTTTCAACAGAGGAAACAGATGCGCAATTTTGATTATTATTTTCTTCACTTGAGATTTTGTTAAATTGATCAACTTCTTTTCTTTTGCACGATCTTTTATGTTCCTTCAGACTTATAAAGTGATTGTTTTCAGTCATAAAATTTACTTCTGATGTAACATTGTCAACATTATTATCTTTATCATACAAGACTGAGGAATCCTGTAATTTCTTTTCATTTATATTATCTAGTTTAGACTCGGATTCTGTCTTGGGTATAATTTCACTCGGAATTTCAGTATTTTTACCATTGCTCGATTGAATTGAGGCATCACAATTTTTTCCAACATCTTCAGACTTCAAAACATCTTCAGTTAGTATTAATTGACTGTTAGTGGGTTTGCAAGTTGCAATATTTTTTTCAATATTAACGAGATTGAGATTGTCTTGTAAATTAGATTCTTTGCTTTTCATATCACTTTGTCCTTCAGTTTTCTCCGTATCTGGATTTTCCGAAATATTCAAGATATTCCGATCATTGTGTACATTATTTGAGTTAGACTCTGTAAGAGATGAATCCGAATTTTCTATTGCTGTTAGCTGGTCAATTACTATGTTATCATTTTCGATAATTTTTTGCACAGGGAATTCTACTAAATTCTTTTTTACGTTCATAAATGTATCATGTACATATGTTTTAGGTAAATCCTTTACAGTTTTTGATGATACATTAATTTCTAAATCTCGTTGGAATTCATTGTTCAGAAATTTTTGTAATTTACCAGATAACAACTCATCTTTTTCTGAATTATTATTACTTTTATCTTTATCTTCACAAGAGATGTTAACATCTGTAAGTAGTTCAGGGCAAACTTCTTTAATATTTTTTAATGTAGAAGAACCTACTACTTGCTTTTCTTTATTCTCTTTAGGTCCAGAGTCCTCAACTAAATTTATTTTGTCAAATGTAGCACTTTCAGAACCACCAATTAATTGTTTTTCCAATGAGTCAGGATAAAGCTCATTTGTTTTGTTTTCTGCGACTGCATTTATTACTTCAACTACGTTTTTCCAATGTTGTGGATCCTCATTTGCTTCTTGTTTCATTTGTTGTTCCAAAGAATTCAGTAACATCTGTTTTTGGTGTAATTTTTTAATATACAATGTAGAAAGTGGTAACTCCTCCTCGTCAGCAGTTAAAATATTCACAGCCTCTAGTAAGTTCTGCAATTTCTTCTTCTTTTCTTTCCGCGCTTCGGCCTTTATTTTTCGCGTTTTCGCCATTTCTTTCTTATATGTTTCTTCTAGGAGAGCGAGACCCGTGTTTGACTTCTTTTGCTCATCTATGCTTGAATTTTGAAGAATAGAATCCCAAGTACTGTCATCTGAATATATTGATGATCTTTCAGATGCTCTACTCTCTGGTAATTTTTCTGGTGAACCTAATCTATTATTTCTTTTATTTAAAGTTTCAATGTCTTCTCCATTATTTTTTGTTATATAATTTTCTTCATTGAACTCTGGTATTTTTGTTTGAACGATTTTGTTAACGTATATCTCGGATTCTGTAGGTTCGATTATTTTTTGAACTTCTTGATCTTTAAACGTCTCTATTTTATCGTTGTTAAGTGAATCAATTTCCTGTATGGATGTTTTATTTGTATCTTCTTGTGATTTAGTTTCATTCACTAGAAATTGATCAGACTCTTGTTCTGTTGTTGCTTTTCTCATATTGACGTTTTTACATGGTAATTTTATTGCATCATTAACTTGTTTCTTTTCTGTAACTGTATTTTGTGTATCCTTGGTAGTTATATTACCATCTAATTTATTTTCTAATTTTTGAATTACTTTTTCAGTTCTTTGCTTCTTTCTTTTCCTAGAATCTGTTAATTTAATATCTCCAGGGTGATGCATTTCTTCATCATCAGAGCTACAAATGGATGTACAATTTCTTTTTCTCCCTACGTGATGATTTTGTTTGTATAATGTTTTAAATTTATTTGTCTGTATAGAATTACTTGGACTATCTTGTACAGATAAACATTCTGTAGTTGTTTTAGGACACGGATTTGATACGGGACTAGTTTCGATATTTTGAATTAATTGTGACATTAATACAGATGGAGTTCGAGGTCTAATCAATGATGTTTCAACTTCTTCATTTTCGTGCATAACATTATTCTTTTGTAAATTATTGTCACCCGGTAAAGTATCGTTCGTCAGCATCTGATACAGAGTCATCTTTTCTGTCATTAGTTTGTGAATTTCAACGTCTATTTCAATCATTCTAGCCATGACAGCTTCTTTTGTAGTCGGATATTTAACTTTTACTGTATCTGATTTTACTATTTCCTTTACCATAGTTTCTGAAATATTACGTTTCTGTTTTTTATGTTTCATTTTTAATTTATTTTTTGTGTTATTTAAAATTTCATTCTTCCCTCCTTTATTTAACTTTTTCAAAGGTGTTTTGTTTAGATGTTTTGATATTTCGTGCTCTGTAATAGGATCGATAGATACGTCTTTATCATTGGTCGTTCTTATCTCAGAAGGAACTAATGCTTGCTTATCTGAAAAGCTATCCAATTCCTGACATTTCTTCAATTTTGAAAATGTTGAATTTGTTTCAGATATTGATGCGGCAATCAAAAAATCCTCTATAGATGTCTTTGTGCCAGTTTTTACTGGAACGCTTAAGTTTGGCGAAATTTCATTTTCAAGAGATGTTGTTATTATCTTTGTCATGTTAGGAGATTCAAGATTATGTTGGGAATTATTCTCTGATATATCGGTACAATAATGATTCTTTTTTTCAATTATCGTATCTGTAATAAATAATTCAGGTGTTAAAGATCTTTTAGAAATATCATTAGATGTGCTTTTAATACCTTGCGTACATTCCACCGGAGATTCTGAAATATTTGACTTAGTTGATTTAGTAGTTTCTGATATTTTTGAATTTGATTCAAGATTTAATTCAGAAGTAGAAGAAATTATCTCTGTGGTGTTTGTAGTATTTTTTTCAGATGGAAGTAATTCTGTTGGAAAAATAGTGTTTCCTCGAGACAACGTAGATTCCTCTTTTTCATGCGTAGTTGTTATAATATTCCGTTTTTGTTCTTTATCCAAATTATTCTTATCAAAGACTTGCGACAGCTCGTTAAAAATTATCGAATTAAAATTCGGCGATTTAACAGCACTCGTCGAATTTTGCTCTTTCTGCAATGATTTGGTGGTGAAAAGGTCCGCATCTCTTGCAATGCATTCTTCCAGATCTATATCAGGAGTACTCAATTTCTTGATCGATTTTCCATCTACATCATCTATATATTTATCCAAAACAATAAATGGTTCACTATCCTCGTCAACGGTGTCATGATTGTTCATATCATTTACAGATAAAACTTTTTTTTGTTCAGGGAAAAGATTGTAAGTAGGATCATTTTCTTTTGTTATATTTCTGTTTCCGGTTTCCGATATTGTCACATCAATTTTAGTATCATCTGTTGTATTTAAATTGTTATTTATTGTTTTATTTCTAACTGTATGTTGTTCTTTCACTAAGTTACAAGTTGATGTTATTTCATTATTTTCCTCCAATTTGTTAGGAGACTCTTTATCATTATCTTTGTCCTTCTCTGCAAACTCTGTAATAGACTTATCATTAAAACAGGTTTCCAAGCACTGGTTAGGATTTTTCATTGCGCTTCCTTTGTCGCTCTCATTATTCACTTTTGTATGATATAATTGAGGTAACTGGCAAACGTCATTTTCGGTGGTATCTACAAGAAAACCCTTGAATGGACTATTTGAACTATTTGGAGATTTTGATCCACTTTTTACAGCATTATTGCAATCGTCCGAAGTTTCTAATTTTTCGTGCAATTGAAATGTAGATTCGTCTTGGTTTTTTACATCATTTACTTTTACATTTGTGTTATCATTTTCAATGGTGGCTTTTGAAATCAAATTCATATCCAAAGTAGAATTATCATGGGTTTTAACATTTTTCAAACATTTAATATTAATCGAATGACCATTTTCTTCGATATCAACATCGATTCGTTCACTAAAAGAATGAGATTCTTCGCTACCATAATCCGAAACACGAACTGTTGTATTTTTCATACATTTTTCGGTGAAAATTGATTGAACATGATCAAGCGAGGTTGTACCTATTAATGATATGTTACTAGATATATCTTTCTGTTTATTTAAGCTTTCAACAGGAATCAACTCAGACAATATTTCTTTATTCGCCTTGGTTATATGTTTTTCAATTTCCTTCTCGCTATTTTTTTCACTTTCAGTGGTTATTAAACTGTGTTCATCTTTGATCTTTTCTGTTTCTTTTCCAATATGTTGATTTTCTATAATCACTTCATTAATTTGTAGTGCAACTTTTTTATTAGTATCTACGGATTTTCTATTATCATCAACAGATTCTTCATCATTTTGTTTTTTCACGGAATGAATATTAATTTGTTCTTGGGCAGTTTCGTTCTCAACTATCGAGTCTATATTTTTTGAAAATGTTTCAACAGTTTGAAGTTTACATAAATTTTTATCGATATCACGACTGCCTATTTTCTCAACTTTTATTTGATCAGTAGTATTTGAACTTGTAATCAATAATTCTTGTTTATGGTTAGACAATTTTTTATGCAATTGTTTCTCCACAAAGTTTTCTTCTGTCGAAGATTTAGATTCGTTCGATTTCGAACGTTTCTTCCTTTTCTCGACAGATTTCTTAACTTTTTCTTTCTTTAATTTCAATTCTTTACTTCCTTCTGATCGAATATTTTTAAATTTTGAAGAATCGATAGTTGAAATTGATTTCTTTGACATTTCTTCCCCAGATCCCAATTTTAATTTCTCTCTTCTTCTAAATTCGTCAAATTCTTGCGTATTAATCAGTTGCGACGAAGATTTATTATCAATTTGGCCTTCCTTAAATTTAACATTATCTTTAAGCGTATGTAAATCAGAATCTACTGGTTGAATTTTCTTTTCATTGGAATTATTGAGATATACAGAAATTAAAGATTCTTTGTTCGTGTGCACAATATCCATGGACTGATGTTCTCCTTCTAAGCTATTCTCCCTCTCGATGTCCTTATTAGAATCTTCTATAGTGATATTGCTTGTTGCGGCTGTTTTAATTAAACGTGGATCCTTTATTTGTATTTTATTTGCATTTATTTCAGTTGTTTTTACTTCGTTCATTGTATTTAGTGATTCAGTATTAGATTTATTAACAGGTGTGGTATGATACGATTCCTGAATTAATGAAGTAGAATTTATGACACTTTCTTTTAACATACCTTGTTCTTTCAAACGTCTCTGTAACGCGCGCTCTTTGTATGCTTTTATATCTATCTTTTTATAACTGCTTTTGTTTTCTGTCGGGGAAATATTTGTATATATTTTTTTATCGATACACTGATTACCTAAGTCAACATCAGCAACAGGGTTTGAAATGCTACATGTAAATGATGTGTGTGTGGTACTGTTATCACTAATAGTTTCAGTGTGCGATTGGATTGATGAAGATGGTTCTCTAACAGTTAAAGATACATGAGTCTCATGTAAAGAAATATTCGTAGATGAAATGGTATCCATCCGTTCGTTACTGTTCTTTGTTATTTCATAATCTTTATTCATTTCCAAAAGGTTTTTCATTTTTTCGTTATCTGTATTTGCTGTGGTATCTTTTGTAAGTCCGATTGCTTTTTCTGTAACTTGCTTCTGTTTTGTGTTCTTGGATTCTGGCATTTGTTTGAGTTGTGCTTTGGTTTTTGGTTGCATTATCATGGAAACAATTTTTTCGGATTTATTCTTAGATCCCGTATCATAAGTAACAAGACCCCGCTCTTTCTCTATTTGTAAATTTTGAGATTCTATTTGTGAGTCAGCTATTTTCTTAACTAAACTGGTTTCATTATTCAAGATAATATTCTCTTCAAACGAACTTACTGGTTCCTCCTTAACAATTACTTCTTTTTTAATCTCATTCTCTGTCAGTAATCGGAATCCTTCGATTTGTTCGTCAGATTTTGATGAATCTGAACAAGAATTATGCTTCCTCTTCTTTTTCTTCTCTTTCTTTTCTTTCCTTCGCTTCTCTTTTTTATCCTTTTTCCTTTTTTCACGTTTGCGAGATTTTCGTTCCTTGTGTTTGCTTTTCTCTTTCCATTTCTTTTCTATCTCAGCAGCTACTTCATCCCTTATTGTTTCATTGAGTGACTTTTTCTTTGCTATTTTTTCCTTTTCCTTAATCACTTTTAATAATTTCGTCACATTAGGAGCAACAGTTTCTTCATCACTATCACTGTAACTACTCGAACTAGACTCACTACTGCTTTCCGATCTTTCTACTCTTCGTAAACCTTCTATCTCGTTAGGATCACCAATACATACATTTAAGTTATGTGTAGGAGCTTCGCAAGTTAAAGGACTTATGCTTAAATGTCTCATAGGTGAATCTGACGAACAGTATCTTTGAGCACAATTGTTTCTGTCATCTTTGCTTAAATTCTCTGCGCTGTTTGAGGCACTTTCACGTGCAATAGTTGAAGTTATCGTAGTGCTTATAGACCCGTATTTTGCTTCCCATTCTTCTTTCGTTAAATTTCTAAATGCATCAGGATCTTCTCGTTCTTTCCTATTCCATCTTTCATATCTTTCAGACCTAAACGTGTTGCGATCTTCAGAACTAGATTTACGTATTCTTGAATTATCCAAATCTGCGTTGCTTTTACCAAGGTGTTTGACTCGCGCAATTCCAGCTGAAAAAATGTCGTCGAGATCAGCTACCGTTTTATTAGGGATTTGTGAAAAGCTGTTATATTCAAAAGCTTCTGTTACTGTTTGCATCAATGAAGCATCTGTGCGTGTTTCAAAGGACTTCCCCGAGTCGAGAGTCAAAACTGTATTTGGTAAATTTTTTGTTTTCTCTGTAACTTCTGACAATATATCATCCAAATCAGCTTCATTAAATAATGGCTGTTGCTTTTTATGTGTGCTTTCAACTTCGGGATTTAACTTATTTGACAATGATCTATGTGATGAATCGATATCTTCTCGCGAAACATTTAAATTTAATTCTGTGTTTTGAAAATGATTAGGTTCTTCCTTATTATATAAAAATGTATCTTCTATGCATTCTTCACATACATTTTGAAGTTTCGGATATTCAGTGGAAGACTGAACTCTTAAATTTTCTTCTGTTGCATCTTCACAAATATGTAGTCTTGAAGTTTCATTTTGACTTATAATCTGAACATCATTAATATCTACATTTTGACTTTCAGATAACTCATTATCTAACGGCATAGAATCGAGTTGTAAAACTTCACTCAGATGATGAATGAATTTTGTAGGCAAATCTGTAATACCTACAACAGCACTTGGATCTAACATTGCATTTAACTGATTCATAAATTCTTCTCTATCATATTCTTTCATTTTTTCATCTTCTGTAGTTCTTAGTTCTAAAGAAAGAGAAGACCTCCTTTCTTTTACCAAATGTTTCATTGCAATATCGAATTTACGAAGACTTGAATTGTTGACCATATTGCAAATATCATTTTTACTCATTTTCAGGAAACGACTGATCACTCTATTTTTCCATGAAGATTCTGAAGTAGGAACTTCCTCTTTTCTAAATTCTTTCTTTGATTTTTTATTTTTTTGTGTACTCATATTATTAGATATTACTGTGTTTGAAGATTGTGCATCTACTTTTTCCAATTCGCTAGTATATTTTTTGTAATTATAAGAAGTATCGTTTGATTTTTCATATGAAGAGATATTTGAAATTAGAGTAGAATGTGTTGAATTTTTTTTAATTTTAGTCTCCTCTTGATTTTTATTTTGATTTGTATTACTTTTTCTGTTTTCTGAAAAATGCTTTCTAGAATGAATTTTTTCTTTATTAGAATTATGGATTGTACCTTGCAAGCTTTCTCTATTTTCAGAAATATTTATAGGTATTCTATGCCACTCTTCTGGTTTATGTATTTTCTTTGTCTTGGAATTTAAGTTGAATACCACTTTAGGTCTTATTTGATCGTTTGTCAATAATATATCCTCAATATTTTTACTTTGATTTTGTACACCTTGTTCCTCATTTCTTATTTCAATATCCTTTTGTCTCTCATTAATTAATTCTGGTCCACAAATTACATTTTGTTTATTTTTCTTATTTTTACTTTCCTTCTTCCTATATTTCTTTGCAGTGCTTGTAAATCCATCCTCTACTGATAAGGAGTGACATATATTTTCATTTGGTACTGGAATTTCTGATGGTATCATGGATAATTCAGAAAATACTGAAGATGTATTTTCATTTTTTATCTCTTCAGTCATATTCATTATTTGCTTTGCAAATTCCATTGCTTCTTGCATATCTTCTAATCCATCATCCATATTCAAACTTTGATTAGGATTAGAGTGTCCTCCCACTAAAGACTCTTTTGGAAGTGGTGGTGGAACTTTAGTAATACTCGTAGGTGGTGGAGGCATTGGGAATTCTCTCATTATTCCTTGTCCACTATTTGTTTGTGATATAACAGACTGAAAATTCATTTGCACATTAGAAATAAAAGTTGTATGTGATGCTATGTTTATGGGAGGTAATTGTGGAAAATTTGATGTAACAGAACCAATATTAAAATCTGACACTGGAGATGTTTCCATTAAGTTCAGTGACATTATATTTGGTCTAGTAGTGTCTAAGGGAGTAATTAAATTAGAACGTTCTTGAGAAGAAAGACGTGGATCAAAAATTGGTGGAGGTTGGAGAGTTTCTTCCCTTTTATGAATTTTTGGTGGTGGTTGTTGAGGATTAAATTCAGGTACCTTTTCACTAGTTGTTACTGAAACATTTGAAATCCTAGGAGGTGGTTCTCTGGGATCAAAAGCTGGAGATGGTTGTACAATTTTTAAATTGCTTTGAGGGGTATTTATTGCTTGACTTCTTAAACCTGAACAGAGTACAGACTTTAGGCTTTCCTGTCTATTAGATGGCTCAGTAACTGATTTTGATCTTATATTTGGTGGAGGTTCACTTGGATCAAAGGCAGGAGGCAAATCATTAGAAGAAAATGGCACTGTTGCATTGTGCTGACAGTCATGGCATGAAGCAGGTACATTATGTATAAATGGTGGTGGAGCTCGTGGATCAAATCCAACTGGAACTAAGTCAGTTGTCTTAAATGAAACAGTATGTCTTGATGGAGATATTTGATTACCATGTAAAGGTAATCTCTGAGGTCCTCTAAAAAATACATTTTTTCCAGTCTGTTGAAATGTCCAATGACACCTAGGCCCACCATTTCTTGAAGTGAACCTAGGAGGTATGTTGAAGATCCTTGTTTGGAAAACAGATGGGTTATTTAATTTTCTATCATCATTTAATTTATGTACTTCATTATAATTTGAATATGTTGGAGATATGGAATCATGAGTAATGTTTGAATGAATTTCTTCATTAGAAAATGAAAAATTGAATGATTTATTTTGAGAAGAATCTGATATACTTTCTACATTTTGATAAACTATCTTTTCAGATATATTTGTCTGTAAATTATTTTGAATCTGATTATCTTCGAGTAATTTTATTTCTGTATAGTTATCGTGTTGTACATTTACATTACTATCTTGTGTGATATCTCTATTTGCATCTTGTATATCTGTTTGCTCAATGTTTTGATTTTGTAAGAAATCTATCTTTGACCCACCTTTAATATTTGTGGTTGATACTAGCATAGAAGTTATTTCTATATCATTTATATTTGAAGATTTTTCTGATAATGAATCATTCACTGAATCTATTGGTAACAAATTTGTTTTATTCCCATCTAAATTCAAAGTTGGTAATTTTTCATTAGTATCACTCAAGTCTGAAGTTAAACTTTTAGTAATGTTATTATCTTGCAACTGTAAATCTTCTATATTGCACTCAAAATCAGACAATTCACTATGTATCTGTTCAGGACATTTATTATCTCCCAATGTTGGGTTGAAGTTATTTTTATCATATGTTGAATCCAAGATAGTTAGGGATTCTTCTTTATTATCATCTATAATAGTAATTTCATCACTTATATTTATAACATTATCTGTAGATTTTTGCTCAAAACTAATTGAAATGTCATCGTTAGATTTATTATCTGCATTTTCAAATTTTGAATTATTGCAATCAACTCTGCCTATATCTCTAAAGTCAGTAAATGTCAGATCCAGTTCAGGTGGCTCATGTCTAAGTTCAGGAATTCCCTTATTTCGTATATTTTCTTCTTCAGAACCATTATTTGGTAAAACAGACAAATCATCTTCCCAAAAATTAGTAAGCTCTTCTTCTGTTATAGAGGATAACTTTTGCTTTAGTTTGTCAGCTGTTTCTGAAATCTTTTGCTGGCGTTCTTCTTCAGAACCAGGCAAAGGAGTCTGAGGTATTAATATACACTTATCTTCAACTTGTTCTTCTTGGGGTAATGGTACTCTATGTATAGGATTCCTTATAAAACTCAAACAAAACTGAGGAGCTGATGGTCTACCAGGACCAGAAAATCTTATTATTCCACGACTACCTGCTATTCTACCTCTATTATTTGGTCGGAATTGTAAACTGCCTCTATATGGATGAGGAAGAAAATTTTTATTCTGTTGCCATGGTACAAAGTTTGAACGCTCTATCCATTTATCAGGACCAGGTAATCTATGTGGTAGTCGTGGATGATTAAAACTGGGATGTGGAAATCGGGGTCCATTAAAGCCATTGGCTGGACCATTCGTACGAGCTCCCCGTGGTCCAAAGCTTCTTCCACGGTATCCACTGCTACTCATCACACTGTTAATTATGACACTTTAATTATCACAGTGCATTTGAACCAACAGTTCTTTTAACAGTCATAAAACTCTTAAAATGCACTAAAATTGTTATACAAATGTTTACATGCTGCATATTTTATTCAATTGAAGTCTTCTTCTTTTATAAAAAGAGACACTATCGAAAAATTTGTACACTTGTAATGTACATTTTAATATTTCCACAGTTAATAACACAAGTCTTTGGAAGATTATAACTTATCATAAATAAAAATTCGAAATTATGTACGGAATATACAAAAAGAACTATTTTTTTTATTTTTTTATTTTCTTTTTACTTTTTTTGTCTTTTCCAATAAATATTAATTGTTTACGAATTTCAGTTGCAACAATATATATCACAATCGGTATACACGTATTCTTCTTAAACTGTAGCAAGAAAAATATATAATCTCTGCGATGTTAGAGAAATAATAACAAAACGACGTGCACTTATTATTCAAATGTAATCGCCATGTTGCACAATCAATTTCGCCAATCTTAATAAACAACATATACTTCGCTGTCAGATAGTTATGTTAAACTAAAATACTTGTGGAAAATTTAAACTTTGTTATGTGATAGTTAACGTTTAAACACTATGGCGTATCGAGTTTATAACAAATATGTTCTGATACGCAACTACCGCGCTGTACTCCATTCATTTAATTACATCTTCGCTGTTCATGTTTAAAAACCTAAATTCAGCCATAAACTTACTATTTTGTTAGATTGCCCGCATTCGCTTCTAACGTAACACCGGCGATTAAATTTTGCGGACTAAAAACGAATTATCTTATGGTTTAACAAAATTAACAGAAGATAATTTATAAAATATGTAATCAATAAAATTTAGATCAATTATAAATTAAATGTATCTGTAAATAATAATATAGTTTAATTATACTGTCGACAATAATAACTTTATAATATTAAATTTCATAATTTATATAGCAATAAATAACAAATATTTTTCAATCTTGTATATCGTATAACATTTATTGTGAATATTTTACGCTTTTTATTTTTTAATAGGTAATGTTTTAAGACTATCTAAAGAAAGTGATTTATCTATTAATAGTGACTTGTCATTAATAGATGAATATTATTGTTATAACATTAATTTCCCTACTGTTTTAAGCAAACTACCTCACTTTTATAACAATCATAATACTTATTCATTATAACGAATATCTGTTTTTGTGACTATCTAATTCATGGTCAATGAATTTTATATTTTTTGGAACCCAGTGGTGGTAAATTTCAGAACACACATTTATCATAGCAAACTAGCCCCACCACTAACTGTATCAATCCGTATTGCTTCCTGACCATCCCGAGAGTGAAGAGTGAACATCTAAGTTACAATTTTCCACTCGAGGATGGCCGCGATACTGTCCAACTCTTCGCGGTTTGTACCTCGTGTAATAGCAAGAATTAGTATATCACAAACGAAGGTAAACTTTCTAATAATCATATTTTTCCATTTATTACCAATATTGAAATATATGTGTCATAAATTGGATAGAACCCTAACGTCTTTTGAAGTAAAACTTGCCACTCAAGTTGTCGAAATACCACCCTTACCTATTGCATCGATTATATAATAATATATTTATACGTTAGGATTCATGTCTTAATCTATCAACCATAATCTGTCAATGGAAATTTATACAATTTATCGAGATTGTCATACGCAAACTTTCTTTTTAAAGAACCAAATAGATCTCCGTTGATTTTAGGCTATAATTTAGGGTCAAGGTTTTCTTTCTATCTATTCTCTATCTATTCGATAGACACAATACTTATTTTTATCTATTTTTTTTTTATACCCTACGTATATATCATAACATACATGAAATTATATAAACTCATTAAAAAGTATATATACTATTTTAATTATTAATTTCATATTTTAAAGAAAAATAAAGATATCAATATATTTTTTCAGGTTGTGAGACCTTTATATAGTCAAGGTAAGACCACTAAATAAAAATAACATGATAATAAAGTGGTGAGCTATATTGAAAGTCTAAAAACATTGTGTTTATAGAGAAGTATATCAATATTGGGGATAACCATACATAAACTATTAATTGTATCAAATCATTTTTGTAGGGCACATTCTATTTATCCGCACTCAACATGGAGTTAACAAGAACTCTCGATTGTAAGTTAAAGAAGTATTATATTAACAAGATAAAATATTGTCAAAGTGTAAATATTTAACATATTTAATAAGCAGCTATGACATTTAATCTTTATTTGTAATCAGATGTACAAAGTATAAGAAATTTCATTGTTGGATAGACCAGACAAGACATATTCATTCAACATCAACACTATGTAAGGAACTTGGGACAACAAATAAATCAAGATTTAAGACTAAATATTATAATGTTTAAATAATATATGTTTCTATATGACAGGGGAAATAAAGGAAGTTGTAGTACCAGCATTTGCGGAAAGTGTAAGTGAAGGAGATGTTAGATGGGATAAGAAAGTTGGTGATCAAGTTAAAGAAGATGATGTATTATGTGAAATTGAAACAGATAAGGTAAAATAAATTAAGTTATAAATAATATACATATTTGTTAATTCGTGAATTTATAATAATTCTTTTACAGACTTCAGTTCCTGTACCAGCACCAGGTTCTGGTGTAATAAAAGAGATTTTTGCCAAAGATGGTGATACAGTAAAACCAGGACAAAAGCTATGTACTATTGACATTGGTGCAACTGGTGGAGCAAGTCCTCCACCTGCTCCTAGTACGGCAGCAGAGCCACCACCACCACCATCACCATCAGCACCACCACCACCACCACCACCACCACCACCACCACCACCACCACCACCACCACCACCGCCACCACCTTCTCGAACTATACCACCACCAGCAGCTCGACCTCCACCTCCACAATCACCAACAACATCCATGCCAGTTGCTGCAATTAAACACGCTCAAGTACGTGTATTTATGCAAATATAATTGAAAATATACACTTTTCTTTTTTGTTATAAAATTATATACAAAAACAAATTGAAATGATTAGGCATTAGAAGGTGCAAAAGTACAACTGCCTCCTGCTGATTATACACGAGAAATAATTGGCACAAGAACAGAACAACGAGTAAAGATGAATAGAATGCGAATACGTATTGCAGAACGATTAAAGGATGCTCAAAATACGAACGCTATGTTGACAACATTTAATGAAATCGATATGAGGTTATTATACATTAATCATAACTAATTACATGTATGAGATTCTTAATCATCCTTCTCTTTTTAGCCGCATTATGGAATTTCGTAAAATGCACCAAGAAAACTTTACAAAGAAGTATGGTTTGAAGCTTGGATTTATGAGTCCATTTATTGCAGCAAGTACTTATGCTTTAAAAGACCAACCAGTAGTAAATGCTGTAATTGATGGCACTGACATAGTTTATAGAGATTATGTTGATATTAGTGTCGCAGTGGCAACACCAAAAGGACTTGTTGTCCCAGTTCTTCGTAGTGTAGAAAATAAGAATTTTGCAGAAATTGAAATTGCTTTAGCAGCTTTAAGCGATAAAGCAAGAAAAGGCAAAATATCCGTTGAGGATATGGATGGTGGCACATTTACGATAAGTAACGGTGGTGTTTTTGGTTCTTTGCTGGGAACGCCTATTATTAATCCACCACAAAGTGCAATTCTTGGAATGCATGGAGTATTTGATAGACCCGTTGCAATAAAGGGCGAGGTAAATATTGAAAATTTGTTTTAATATTAATTATTATTAAAAACATGTTAACAATTTTCAGGTTGTAATTCGTCCAATGATGTATGTGGCTTTAACATATGATCATCGATTAATTGACGGGCGCGAGGCTGTGATGTTCTTAAGGAAGATCAAGGAAGCTGTGGAGGATCCCAGAATTATTTTAGCTGGCATTTAAGCCTCTTAAATATTTTTATTGAATCGCTTCAAACATGCTTCTCATCACATTCAGAACATTTTGTACACGTTGTATTATATTCTGTTCATCGAGGCTTTTACTCAGAACAACACATTTTCAAATATTTATTAATCATTATGATAAACGAAAGTAAGAAAAGAAAAATATTACATGAATGAAATAATATAATATATTTCTATTTGAAAGACTTTGTCTTATTAACAAAGTATTATTTCGATTCACTTGTATTTCAATAATTAACAATATAAATCAATTTTTCTATAACAGGATATAACAATTACTACAGCATAAGATTTTTAAACTTAAAGCAGAATCTACAAAGATACTGATTGGCATGAAAAAAGAAGTGTACATTTTAATATTTTTGTGATTCAAACTTAAAATCCACTATATAATAATTGAAAAGAAGAAAGTAAAATGCTACATGATTTGAAATCTTTTACAATAAAGTATACATGTATACGATGTAAATGATTTCTATTTTATAATTGATTTGATATTATTATGATTTAAAAATTGAACTGTATTCTTCTCAAACTTTCTATGTCATTAATCAACACCTTTCTATTATTCAATACGTGGTGTAAAAATTGTATACAGATCATTACGTTTTTAAAACCGTCACATGTATTTGTAATAATCATTTTACTATTTTTAATTGTATTTATCTTTATTCTGATGGCTTTAAACGAGACGTCATAAAGAAGCGATAATTGAAAAACTAGAAGCAGATACTTTATTGCAGAAATAAATGTATCTAAATATTGAAATAAAATTTCACGAATCTATATGTCAACATTGTTAAATTATATTCACAAAGCTATATATTATATGAAGTTATTTATTAAACAAATTAATCATTCCTATATTTTTAGAATACATAAGATTAAATAAAGTTTTACATTTTTCTTTTTTGCAAAGATGTAACTTTGCAATTACCGGTAACTATTGTCGAATACGATCGTGTAAATTACTATTCTCAAATAAAAAATAATACTAAAGTATTTATTTAAAAACTATTTAATGTTACTGTTATACTGTTATATTTTGTTATACAAATATTTTTATTGCTAATTTTCATTTTATACGGGATGAATCAGCTATAATTGGAAATTGAAATATTTTAAAAATTATTAATTGTGTTGAAAAAAATCTTACGACAGAAGTTGAGTAAGGGAGACAGAAGGATATAATTTAATACAATTAGAACGCATAAAACATAATAAAACAAATTAAGTTTATTGTTTTAAATGAAATCATATATTTTTTAATGGATCAATCGATTTAACTTATTCACTAAAAAATTCATTAAAAAAAAGAAAAAATATTGAGCAATTTATAATAAAAATTTTAAATGATATTTAATTATTTTAGAAAATATTCTAATTAAAATATTGCAAAACGATATTTGTATAATTAATTGTTGTTATGTCTTTTTTTTAAATTTCTTGAGACCTTTCTTTATAAAAGATAGTGGTTTTCTTTTTTCAATATATTAACAATTTCAAAAATATTTTAGCTTTCAATTTTCGGTGATTCATCCTATATTTTTATATATTTTATGTTTGCTAACAACTTTTAAATTAGCATTTTTCAAAAGGTATCGAATTATTTCGATATATTACAAAGAAAATATCGAAATCGTAATCGATTCTGTTCATATATAGAGAATGACTTCGCCGTTTCTATTCGTGACCAAACAGTAAATGTGAAATGGTAACTTTTTAAAACTCTCAATTATGTATAAATTGAAAAATCTATACCGTTTCAAATAATTTGTAGTAAAATATTTAATATTATTGACAATTAATTAATAATTGCTAAATTAACAATTTTTTTTTTAAATATGCTTTTGTTATTTGACATTTTAGGTTATCCTAATTATAAATTGTTTCTTTATTGTATATTATATTCGAAATGAAATAATTGTTTAAAAATTTTATAATAAATAAAAGTTGAAATTATTTTGGATCATACTATTTATTATAACAGGGGCAAAACCAATCTGGTACTGGAGGTACAGCGGGTGATAAGAAGGATGATAAAGATAAGAAAAAGAAATATGAACCACCTATTCCAACAAGAGTGGGTAAAAAGAAACGACGTACAAAAGGACCAGATGCTGCTTTGAAGCTTCCTCAAGTTACACCACATACACGTTGCAGATTGAAGCTTTTAAAATTAGAACGTATAAAAGATTACTTGTTAATGGAAGAAGAGTTTATTAGAAATCAAGAAAGACTAAAGCCACAAGAAGAAAAAAATGAGGAAGAAAGATCTAAAGTTGATGATTTACGTGGAACTCCAATGTCTGTTGGAACATTAGAGGAAATAATTGATGATAATCATGCAATAGTTTCTACATCTGTTGGTTCTGAACATTATGTATCAATTTTATCATTTGTGGACAAAGATCAATTAGAACCTGGATGTTCGGTTTTATTAAATCATAAAGTTCATGCTGTTGTTGGAGTTTTGGGTGATGATACAGATCCCATGGTTACAGTAATGAAATTAGAAAAAGCTCCACAAGAAACTTATGCAGATATTGGAGGTATACATTTGATAAAAATTTGAATGAATATTTAAAACATGTATTAAATTACACATTCACAAACATTTTATTATTTAGGACTTGATACGCAAATTCAAGAAATTAAAGAATCTGTAGAATTACCTTTAACGCATCCAGAATATTATGAAGAAATGGGTATTAAACCTCCAAAAGGAGTCATACTTTATGGTCCTCCAGGAACTGGGAAAACATTATTGGCAAAAGCTGTTGCCAATCAAACATCGGCAACATTTTTAAGAGTTGTTGGTTCTGAACTTATACAAAAATATTTAGGGGATGGCCCTAAACTTGTCAGAGAATTATTTCGGGTTGCAGAAGAACATGCTCCTTCTATTGTGTTTATAGATGAAATAGATGCTGTAGGCACGAAACGATACGATAGCAATAGCGGTGGCGAACGTGAAATTCAAAGAACTATGTTAGAACTTCTTAACCAACTTGATGGTATGAAAAGTATATTTTAAATTGAATTATGACTTTTATAATTATATTTTACATTCATATAACGAAATATTTTTATTTGCTTAGGTTTTGATAGTCGGGGTGATGTTAAAGTTGTAATGGCTACAAACAGAATTGAAACTTTAGATCCAGCATTAATCAGACCAGGTCGTATTGATAGAAAAATAGAATTTCCATTACCTGATGAAAAAACAAAAAGAAGAATATTCAGCATTCATACTAGTAGAATGACATTAGCACCTGATGTAAATTTAGCAGAATTAATTATGGCTAAAGATGATCTTTCAGGTGCAGATATAAAGGTAAGACATTACTCAGATATACCTTAATCCAGAAACATTTTTGTAATATTGATCAATATTTTTATCTTATAGGCTATATGTACCGAAGCAGGTTTAATGGCATTACGTGAACGTCGTATGAAAGTTACTAGCGACGATTTCAAAAAATCTAAAGAAAGTGTTTTATATCGGAAAAAGGAAGGATCTCCTGAAGGATTATATTTATAAAAATACAGCAATTATCATTCTTTATTTACAATTCAAAAATATACATGGTAATAAAAAATATACATGATAATAAAAAACATAAAAAAAATTTTATTTGATTGATAAATTAATTATCTTCTTGTTTTGAAAAGTTTTGTATTTTTAATATATCTGATTCGCTAATATTTAATTGTTTTACATATGGTTGAAAATACTGATACAATGTTTGAAGAACTCTTCCTGAGTATAATCTTTGTTCATTAATGATCTTAGAAAAAATTTTCTGTGCATTGTTTGTATCTGTTATACATAAATGGCATGCACCTCTTTTAGTTTTATCAAGATTTTCAGTTATATTTTGCGGATGGCTGACATCTTGTGGTATAGTGTTTAATAAACTTTTAAATTTTCCTAAAATAAAAGCTGTTTGGAAGCCTTCCCTATATCCAATGTTAAAACCTTCTTGAAAAACAGAATTTGATCCATCTTCTACTCCTTCTCGATAACCAATCTTAGAAAAATTATAATGTATTTAAAAGTATAGTATATTATCAAAATATTAGAATAATTTTTTAATAACTTTATAATAATGATTTATAAATGGTACCTTCTTAGCAGCATCGGTAATTCGATTCCATTCTTGAGTAGCAATATTCAACGAATCATTGATATCTAATTCATCTGAAGTGCTGTCCATATTCCTAAATTAATTATTAAATTAATATAATAAATTTTACTATATGGATAAATAATGAAAACATAAAGACATAACCTAACGAATATTGAAAATAATCAAGTGAATCGAATATTTAACATTACGAAAATTCGATGGAGGCTGAAGCTAGTACTTCAAAAGAACAAAATGCAGATAATACAGATATAAACTCATATGAATTAATCGAACAAAAGTAATTTTCTATTAAGTTTTAGCAAAAACTAATGATATATATTACGTACATAGTTAATAGGTTATAATTATTTTTTATACACGATATAAATTATATTATATAATAAAAATTTAATATTTTATTATTACATAAATAAAACGTGAAAAAAATACTTAAATGTGGTATTTCAAATTTTAGAATTATTGCACTGGCGCAAGCAAGACCGAAAGGAATATCCGATAAAGACTTAACTACCGAAATGCCAGATTTACAACCTGCTCAGAGAGCTCAAATTATAAATAAACTTTTATCACAAGGCCATTTTGATTTATTTAAACAAAGTGGTTCTTTGTTATATCGTTTGAAAGATCCTTCTAAAGCAAAAATTGCTAAAGGTGCAGATAACGAAGAAAAAATTGTATATACCATCATTGAAGAAGCAGGAAATAAAGGAATTTGGATTCGTGATATAAGATTTAAATCCAATTTAATGCCAACTCAATTAAATAAAATCTTAAAAAGTTTAGAAACTAAGAAATTTATTAAAGCTGTTAAGTCTGTTGCAGCAAGTAAGAGAAAAGTATACATGTTATATAATTTAGAACCAGATACATCTGTAACTGGTGGTGCTTGGTACCAAGATCAAGACTTTGAAGCAGAATTTGTTGATGTCCTTAATCAGCAATGTTATAGATTTCTGGAGAAAAAAAAGGAGCAAATGAATTCTTGTAGAGGTGGACCAATAATGGCCAGAAATGTTACATTTGCTTCATCTAAGGAAGTATGGAAATTTATCTCTGATCTTGGAATAAGCAAGGTTTGAATGATCATTATCATTTTCTTCTTATTATGTATGTAAACATTAAAAGAAGATATGAATATTCATAGGTAAAATTATCAGTTGAAGACTTGGAGATGATATTGAATACTTTAGTTTATGATGGGAAAGTAGAACGTACTCTTTCAGGTGATGGAAACACTTTATACAGAGCAGTAGTTCCTTTACTAAATCCACCAGGGTTAATTAAATCTACATGTGGTGTTTGTCCTGTAAGCTACTTTATTTTATTCTTCTGTATATCTTTCACAAATTAATAATAATATGAAAATATTTAAATACAGGTGAGAAAAAATTGTTGTGACGTTGGTGATGTTACACCTACAAAATGTCAATATATTACAGAATGGTTGGAATAATTTCATAATAAAAATATAAACTTTTAATAATTATTTACTTGTACATACTTTTATATATATAAGTTATATGTAAATTATTCTGAGTTGTATATCTATATGAGTTATATATTTATATAAGTTATACTGAAAATAAAAATTGTATAAAAGACATCTGTAAATATTTAACTATAAAATATAAAACTTACTATAAAACTATAAAATATAAAATCTATTATTATATATAATACTATAAAAATTAAAATAATTTTTTGTATTTTTTTAACTCAGTAAATTGTGAACAATTCCCGCCAAATTTAATAAATTTACATATTTAGACCGGATACCATTTACCAACTTTAAAAAAATAGTATATTACATTTATTATTTGTATTCCCCGTAATTATAATATTTGAAAAATATTACAATAAGTTGTAGCAATACTGAGAAGTTTTACATTTATTGAACTTAAAATTCCAGATTTATTAATGCAATTAACGTTATTATATGTTTATTTTTAATTCCCGCGTTTTAAATAATAATTTTATGTTGGTAACGTTATTCTTTTTATTGGTTTCCGGCTTTAAGGTACCAGATGTGAATGCGCGCTTCCACGAGCACCGTTAAATCGTGCTTTGTCATGAGACCCGAAATGTTTCGTAAAACGGTAGCAGAACTTTATGTTCAACGTGCATGAATAAACAAAATTTCAAAGCAAGTAAATCACAACAATTTTAGCCGAAATTTAATAGCGCTTGGAACTCAGAGCGTCTTTGTATAAGTTAACGTGCGTTGCATGTGCCTGGCGGTGTTCCGGGAAAAGTATTGCACTATCTTCGACGCAGAATTGATTTATAACGTGTTAAAAACGTGAACGAAAACTGCATTGGTACATTGATATATTTACAAGTGTTAACATGCCGCTTCTTCGTAAACAGCCGTTCCAACGTCTTCACGTCTCTTCAGATTTTAAAGACGATGATGAAGTTTTCCACTGTGAGGTTACCAACGAAATTTTCAAGGACTACAAGTAAGACCATGACAGCTAAAGCTACTTCGAAATACATTTTGCAGTTTTGTTAAGCAATTTCTTAGTTATAAATATTTTGTATTCTTTCAACTTTAGCTTATTTATTTATTTCTATTTTTGTAAATATACTTATAGATGTATTAGTTAACACTTTGTTTTTATATATCTTTTTGCTTTGTATCGAATAGATAAGGTTGAAAAATACGTTGTAGAAAACGTCAAGATTATTTATATCTTTCGTTTTTAGTTAAGTGTTACATGACCATTTATTATGTATTATATATTTAAATTCTTAGTTATTAAACATTTATTTTTATTTGTACAACAATACATAAATTTGTTGTCTAATTTTAGCAGAATATTATTATATTTATTAATATTAAGAATATTGCATTTAAAATGTTATGTCTCATCATTACAGTGAATTCTGTGAAAGAATTATTTTATGCAATTCACTTATATGGTCATGTAGTATAACTGGTAGAACCAACATGACCTATGAGGAGGCTTTACAATGTGAAGAAAATGCAAAAAAGAGTCTTAAAGAATTTCCTATGGAGGTAACGTTTAATTGTAAATTTGATGTTTTGTATTATAATTTTAGATTTATTGATTACTTATTTTAAATTATAGTTACGCATACCTATATTGTATCTTGCCAGTAAGACAAACAGATCATCCTTTAATGAAATGATAGAGGATGTATATCAATTTGCAAGGGATCGTTATTTTGTTGGTGAGATGGTAGAAGCAAGTTTTACAGAAGATTCTTGGTGTGATTGTCATGTTCTTCAAGTTATAGCACCTTCAGAACAACAAATTAAATTATATACTAAAGAAAACAACAGGTATACATTTATTTATATCATACAAGTGTTAAAATATACTAATGTTACTATAATCTGATTTTATTTCATAGGAGTCCACAAGAGCAACAATATCATCCACCTGCAAAGTTATTTCGTTATGAAGTAGAACAGCTAGACTCTGGTGACTCTGATGTTAGTCAACTTATGATAGTAGAAGCAACGCAAGTAAGAAGAAGAAAGCAACACTATAGTAAAGAGCGTAATAAAATTTTTTTACGTCAGCTATGTGAACAAAATGAAAATGGAATATGGATTGTTAAAGTTCGTATAATAATAGAAATAATTTAAAAAATTTATGAGGTACATTAATGATAAAATATTTTATACATTTTTAGGACAATGTTTTACAGAAATATGGAATTAATAAAGTACGTTTTGACACTATATTTGCTGGTCCTCCTCCAGATTTTACATCACGCATTAGGAAATCTGTTAAACATAAACAAGAATCAATAGATAAATTTCTTACTACAGATGTATCAAAACAAAAGACGATAGAAAAACCTGACCCTTTTAAGAAAGTGAATCAAGGAGGAGTGGATATAAAAAAATTTAGGAAACCAAGGTGGATAATGTATATTAAATTAATACATTGACAGCCAATAGAACAAAATTATACTTCGTACAGATTGATATTATTCAACTGATAGAAAAGTAAAATTATGTTTAAGATTTTTAGGATGAATTTAGCTTTGGGTTCAACTATTAAGATAAAATTTCTAATAAAACATAAGAAAGTTAGTAAGCTATTGATTTTATAATCTATTTAATTTCATTTGGCACTTTAGAAAATATTTAAAAATTAAATGATAAATTACAGTGCAACGTGGGCCGTCAATGTGTTAAGAATAATTCGTAATTTCTACTTACATATTAAAACTATAAAATTTATAAATAGGATGAATGGAAAATTTAAAGAAGATCTTAAAGCAAAGGCACTTGAAGAAAAAGCAAAACGCAAAGAAGAAAGAGTCTTAAAAAGTGAACGTAAGAAGGAAGAAAAGCAAAAATTAGCAGCTTTAGCTGCATATGTAAGACAATGGAATAAGCCAAGGGAGGATCTTGAATGTGAAGATCTTTCGCCAATTCCACAAGCTACCCCAGTTAAAAGTAGCATACCTAATGAAAAGTTTGGCGATAGCGTCATGATTCTAGAATTTTTAGAATTTTTTAATGAAGAACTAGAAGTCAGTGCATATTTTCCAAATGGTTTTACTTTAGATTTATTAGAGAAAGTATTACTGGTAAAAGAAACATCTGGACCTTGGAGTGATCTTTTACAATTGCTATTAGTAAATATCTTTAAATATCAAGCAGATGAAGAAGATGAAATTCATGCTCAAGCATCTGATATAACAAATGATATAGGCATGAATGAAGGAGCGTCGTCAGTGGCAAAAACCATAAAACTTTCTCCTATAGTTTCTAGCTGGAGTCAGATACATCAAGGCTGTAAATTATCTGAACTAACATTAGATCATGTAACTTTAAGCGAAGTTTTAAGGCAACATTTATTATGTTCTGGAGGAAGAATTGGTGATGTTGCTACTAAATGGAGATATTCTCAAAGAGGTATACATACATACAATTTTATTAAATCAAAACATTAACATTAATCCTAATCTTTGTAGGTGGTTATACAAATCAAGACGATCCTGCACTGTTGATGAGAATAAATGAAGCATATATTTTAAGGTTGTTAGGTCATCGTAGTGTCCATGAATTTGATTTAGATGAGAAATTAAAAGTAGTTACATGTTTGATAAATCAGTTACTAACTTTCGCTTCGATACGAGATGTAATAGAAGAAAGACGTGAAAAACTTCATCAAGCAAAGAAAGAACTGAAGTCTTTCTTAATAGCTGAACAAAAGAAAGAAAAAGAAGAAAAAGAAAAAATGAGAGAACGAGAAAAAGATAATGAAAATAAAATACCAAAGAAAGTCACACGTGAAGAGGGAAAAAAGAAAGAAGAATATGAGAATAGATTAAAAGAACTTCAACAAGCATCCAAGAATAATAAAATGCTGGTTTATTTAGGCTCTGATAGAGCACATCGTAGATACTGGAGATTTTTATCAATACCAGGTAGTTTTTATATTGAAGCTTAATAAAATATATATTTATAAATTTTGCTTTTTTTGTAGGAATATTTGTAGAAAATGACGAATGGTGGACTGGAAATTGCCTTCCTGATGGTACACCTTATCAACCAGAATTGAAAGATGGAGACTCCACATATGCATATTTGAAAAATAAATTTGAAGATGAATTTAGTGATAAAGAAAATAGTTTTAAAAAAGCAAAAAAATCTACTAAAAAAGTTTCATTTTCTGATAAAAATGGCCTTAAATCACAGAGAAAAGATGTGTCTCGAAAAGAATTTAAGCAAGAACTATTTGATATTAGAAAAAATTTAATGGCTTGCACTGGAGACAAAGAATGTCCAGTGCATTGGAAGAGGTCAGAATTGAAATGGAGTTTCTTTGGAAAGCAGGAAGATATAGAAGCTTTAGTAAATGGTTTAAGTAAGCGAGGGATCAGAGAAGGTGAACTTAGAAATAATATTATACAAGAAATGACAAGTATAATATCTGTGATTGAAGAATGTCCTAGACATAAACTTAATTCTGAAATCGTAAGAATTTTATAGTATCCTTTAAATTTTTTAATATTATCATAATTCAGCAAGTTTTTTAGTTAAATTTTTAATATAGTTTTCAGAACCTATTAAAGGGCAGCCTAATAAAATTTCAAAAAAGAATAGATACGATAATTCCAATTTAAACTACCCTTTAGAAATGGCAGTTGATGATGTTTTAGAATTGACTCTAAGAGATTATATACTAGATTTCGAAGATAAAGTAAAAGGAGGTGGTTTGGGAAGTTTAAAAGTGAATGATCGGGAAATATGGAGACATGCAATAAATAACAGAAAGTATGATAAGCAATGCGATAAATTGTTGTATGGTACTAATGAGATTGAAGCAGATGTTGTTCCAAATGCATCTTTGGATAGAATAAAAGATGAAGCTAAGCATAGTAGACCAGGAACTCCAGATTCAGAAATTGGAAGCATTAATATAAAAGCTTACAAAGATTCAGGAAAATATTTAGGTCCACCAAATGAAACTGAGATACTCCCAGATTTTAAACAACAGCTAGCCATTAAACAAATGGCTTGTGCTATTTTGCAATTATCTCAAGCTATTGAGCAAAAATATTTACAGAAACCGTTAGGTCCAAGTGAGAAAGATAAGAAATGGTCTGGCGAAGAAATCAGAGAAAAATGGGAACAATCGCTTATTGCATCTACGAATTGGTCTCAATTATTTGTACATTTAAGTACTCTGGAGAATAGTGTAGCATGGAGTAGAAGTGCATTAAATGCACAATGTCGAATATGTAGACGACGTCGAGACGGTGATAAAATGCTACTATGTGATGGATGCAACAAAGGCCATCATTTATATTGTTTACAACCAAAATTAAACGTAAATTTTTTAAATATTTTTTAGTTTTTGATATGTTGCAATGCTTAATATTAAATATTTATTTACAGAGTGTGCCAGATGGTGATTGGTATTGTAAAGTATGTAAACCACCAACGAAACCAAAAGAGAAAATTAAAAAAAGAAAGAAATTTGAAGATGAATTAGAAGAGGACGTTATATTAACCAAAGAAACTCGGCACAATCGTGCAAAACGTGTTCTTGAAAGTGAGGAAGAAGAAGATTCAGAGGATGAAGAATTAGAGGAAGACAGTGATGATGATATGTAAGTATCATTTTAGAAAATATTTATTATTTTAGACTATGTATTAAGTAAAATATCATGTAATAATTAACATATATTTCAGTAGTAGTCGACAAATAAATGTGTGCTTTGCATGTAAAAATGGTGGAAAATTGATCGGTTGTGACGCATGTTCAAACTTTTATCATGTAGAATGTATAGAACCTTCTATAACAAGAGCACGCCGAGGAAGATGGATTTGTTCAGATTGCAAGGATAGGAAAGACAGAAAAACAAATATAAAATATGGTAAATATTATAATATATTTTCAAATTTAATGGTAGCTGGAAATGCTATGATAAATTTCGAAAATATTGCGCTATCTTATAATATTTTATTATTATTTCATGTTAACACTGATAAATTTTAATTTAAATACTAATGTAATAAAGCAGTTTCTTAGTTTTAATTGTGTTGTTAGTGAGGGGGCGTGAAAGGGAAAGGGACAAGGAGAGACTGTGCGCTGCAGCAGCACGCTCTCGCATCCATGGCTTTGCCAAGAGCCTCCTCACTACAGAATCTACAGACTGGGACGGTCTGTATTGTAACTCTATTTTACCTTACTTAGTATGAATAAAGAGTTTTTTTTTTAAAATATAGTAATATTTGATATAATAATTAAATGACATATTGCTTTATACATTTGTTCATTATTAATAAATTAGGATAGATTAAACTTTGTGGCATGTGTATGTAAATAATCTTTATGCTTCCATCAAAACCAACTTAAAATTTTATATTAAATCTGTGTTGTTTCTTTAACGATACTTACACTTTTTTAAAATTTATTATGATAATTTTTAATGCTTTGCATTAACTAATTAATTTAAATGTGTTTAATCTTTCAAATCGATATTTTATTGTATATAAATATTTTGATATGTAGATAGTAGCACTTCAGAGGATACAGAACCAAGACAGACCAGAAGAGCAGCTAAGAGAGCTGCTGAAATTGAACAAGAGGAAGATAAGGGAATAATTAAAGGATATATGGGAAGACTGCAGGAATTACTTTCTGATATTAGGCATCATAGAGATTCATGGCCTTTCTTATCACCTGTCACAAAGGACGAAGTTCCAGATTATCATGACATTATTTCCAATCCTATGGATTTTGGTACAATTAAATACAAACTTAACAGTAGTGAATATGAAACATTGGAACATTTTTTCAGTGATTGTCATTTAGTGTTCGAAAATTGTCAAGCTTATAATGAAGAACATAGTTCTGTGTACAAGTGAGTATAACTAGCATAAATATCTTTATGTATAAGTTCGGACGCCAGGGATTGTGAGATTTACTAATAATATTGATTAATGTACTATGTTCATATTGCAAATGTTTAAAATATTTTAGCAATTGTATATGTGCTAATAATAGTAATATTTCCATAGTATTCTATTTATGTTATTAAGTAACATTTGTATTTAACTTTAAAATAGAAATAGTATTGGACAGCATGTATTTGTAATTAACACATATTTAAATTGACAAAATATTAACTGTTTAAGTTTAGTTTTTATTTAAAAAAAAAAAAAAAAAAAGGAAGGTAATGTTTCAAGCACAATTTTGTGAATAAATTAGTAAATTCTATTCATTGTTATAAAATAAAATTTTGCAGTAACTTAAACAAACTCATGGTCTGAAATTCGTAAAAACTGAAAGAAATTATTGCAATAAAAACCAGAACAATAATCATTTAAGATCAAAATCTTTGGCTTCCGAACATTTAAATTAATACAAATTTGGGGAGTTTGGCTATGTCTTTTTAAAAATAGTTATGTATACAGAGCAGGTATGAGATTATTGAAATACTATGAAAAACGGTGCAAAGAACTGGGTTTAACGCATGGCGAAGAATTATTACGGCCTCCAGATTCAAAGAAACCAAAACTTGAAGAAAACGGTCTTGGAACTAGTGAAGATGAAGATGCAGAAGACATTAAAAAATCGAGATAGAGATAAAGTACTTTCTTTAACCCGTTATATTTATTAAATATCAATTTTTACTCCTGATACGTAAATTAAATGTACCTTGAAACTAAATTTGTACACTGATGTTGAACTGTGTGCAAATCCATAATTCAACAATAGAAGTTCTGTAAAGTATATATTACTAAAAAAAAAAAAAGACTTTGTTTACTAAGAATTAGAAAATGCTGCATAGAATTTATGAAATTCATCTATTGAAACAGGTGATAAAATGCAAGCTTAAATAAGTTTAAAACATTTTCTTCTACGTTAATTGTCAAATATTCCGATTAACTCTTTTTCTTAAGCTTGCTAAAATAAAAAGTATACACAGTATTATTTGTAGAATTTTACGCATGGTACAATTGCTCTCGCATACCGTTTTGTAGAAATTACCGTTTAATGTAGAACATTTTATAAAGAAGCGAACAGCACGTAAGCAATGAATTTCATTCATATGCTTGAGCCAGTACAAGAATAGTCTTTTGAGTTAGTATTATTATAAACAAATTTTTTGTTATCAAGGAAGTTTTTACGTTATATTAATAATTATTTATTATTTTAACATTACTCATTCAATTACATCTCACATGTCCTTATATTTCAGTAAAAAAATTTGGAGAATACCCAAATATATTCCAAACTTTGAAAGTTTTGACTTATGCAAAATTCAAGCAAAATCTTATATAATATTTACTTTTTACAGTATGTCCATATACCGTGCGAAGTACGATCACGCGTAACATGACTGATGATTTAAGGGATACTAATAGAAACCAAGAATGTTTTTATTATGAATGCAAAAGTATTCATACAAAAGTAATTATGCATTAATACAAATACAGTTACTATGTCTTATATTTATATAAAGTAGATTTTACTGGGGTTCAAATAAGCACAAAACTATTGGAATTTAAGGATTTTATTATTTAATCATTTTTGTTTTAGGTTTTCTCAAATTATTAACATATTAATGGTACTTACGTTTTTTTTATTTTTTTGCAAGCATCAGCCTATTTTAAGAAAATTATAAATTTTAGGCTGGCCCTACACAAAATCTACGGTACAAATTATTATTAATCTTTATATTGTACAGCAGTAGAAGCAGTTGTTTGTAATCATGTATGTTTTATACAATTAATTTGGTAATAAACTTTTAAAATAGATTTATAATTGAAATTTGTTCATAATATACTAAACAAAAAATTCACAAAGTATACCAGTTTTTTTTTATATCCAAGTAATTTAAATATCCATCATATTATACTACAATATTTCCAAATACAATTCAATGACGCATTTCTCCAGAGAATTGTTTTTTATGTATTTCCTCCCATTTTTTTACATTGTCTGGGTGATAACCTGATACACAATAATGAAAAAAAAAGAAGTATTAGGTACAGTATACATATATAAACACTACAATAATTTTAAATAACTTGCTAAAATATTATACATACTTAATTTTTGTATATAATAAAATACAGGTGTACACAGAACTGTACTAAGTGCCCAATATCTCAAAACCCAACCACGCTTAGATGTCCAATAATAATGGAATGGAAAACGAGCAAGTTTTGCAGCAAATGTATATGGGAATTTCATATGTCTATCAGACATGACTAAAAATAATTTAACATTAGTTTTATTGTTTATAGCATTCATTTTTTAATATTAAAGAATTTGGTAACTTTTTATAAAGGAATATATGAAATTCTTGGCTTATAAAGTGATAATCACTCCACTTTGTGTTTGATGATATGTATCAAATGGTAAAAAAGGAGTAAATATTTATTAGTCTTAAAAAACCTTAAAAATGTGTTACATATTATACTTTAAACTTGGTTAACAAAAATTAACCCAAAAAAGTTAAAAATACAACATACAGAATAAATATGTACGAAACTATATATTTGTATAATCTATTGTTTTACGTAAATTATAGACCTAATTTTACTATACAGTGCACAAAAATTACGTTATATATTTTTACTATATGAAAAATAACTTTATTTCTTTTCCACGTTAATATGTTGAAACTTATTAAAAAGTAGTATTCACTTTTGTATAACTTTCATTAAATTTTTTCAGTTGAGATTAAATAATTCATTATTTAATATATAAAAATGAAATATAAAATACCACCTACCTTTAAATGTATGTAACAACAGGCTTAACAAATTGCCAATATAGATCTATTAGAATTTTCGCCAGCCATAGAATAATGTTATATAATCAACAGTATACGATTGAAATATATCGAAAAATATCGAATTGTCGTTATCTACAGATGAAGTCCAAACTTCAAAATTCTATTGGTTAAAACGAACAATGAATAGATTTAAAAAAAATCCTTAAAAACCGTTAAAGTATTAAAAATTACTGTTACTTTAATTTTCATGTAATACTTTATCAAAGTTTTAAAAAATGATATTTTAATGATAAAAAATAATAACATAAAATACGAAATAAAAGTTATTTATAAAATGTAAATATCTTATCTTTAACTAATAAATTATTTAATATTAGTGATTACATATATAATCATAATTATTAATTAAATTGAAATTTTAAATAAATGCAATATAAGTATATAAATTTTGAAAACATTTTTATTAATAAATACATAATGTATATATATAAGTATTAAATACTCCTTATATGTAATTTGTGTTAATTTTATTAAAAATTAAGCACGGCTTAATAATTATCTAGATGTACAAATTTTTATTAAGATTATAATTTATTTTATAAATGTATAAAACTTTTTTATCGTGATAGAATACGTAATCATAAATAGAAACAGATTTTTAATGGAAACTTATCAAGTTAATTCTTAATATAAAATATAAAAATATAAAGGGAATTGAAGGTAGTTATGTACAAGTACCCTATGTTATAATAAAATCAATTAAAATATTCGTAAAGGTCTCCATACTTATAATCTGAACGAGCGCGGAACATAAAAGAATCTATCAAATTCAAGATTGTCAATAATAAATCTGAAATTGTGCGTGTATTTACCATGAGTTCGATAGAGGTTGTAAATACTTGTCATTTCTAAATTTAATTTTTAAATTTAAAGATTTTAATTTCATAACATGTGTTATAGAATTAAAAATGATATTGGTTTAATAAAAACAATATGTTACAGAATTTAAGATTTTCGTGAATTTATGATATTATTATTACGTTAATTTTTCAAGTAATATGCTACTAACTAAATAAATTTTTTTCTGGTTTGGATATTATCAGGAAAAATATCTCGAAGATTCAGAAATCGAATTATTTAATTCAAATGTTTTGGAACAATTGTCTCTATCACATACTGAAGGTTTATTAGTTAGACCATTAAAATCCGGAGATTATGATAGAGGTAAAGTAATTATTAAAACAAGTTATTATCAATAATATTGTTTATTTATTAATATTATAATATTTCTTTGAAAGGTTTTCTTCAGCTCTTAACTCAATTGACTGAAGTTGGAGATATTAGTAGAGAACAATTTTTAAGTAAATATCTTTAAATTAACTTGTCTTTAAGGTAAAATATAACAATAATAATATATTTGATCTTATTTTTAAATCACAGACCGTTTTCATATGATGAGAAATAGTGGTAGCTATTATACTATTGTAATAGAAGATATAAGCACTGAAAAAATAATATCAAGTGCAACATTAGTTGTAGAGCAGAAGTTTATTCACAATTGTGCATTGGTATGTTTTCTTTTTTAAATATTTTTTGTAAAGTGAAATTTTTATATAATGGAAATAAATAAATTGTTGCAGAGAGGACGTTTAGAAGATGTGGTGGTAAATAATAAATACCGTGGTAAACATCTAGGAAAATTAGTCGTCAAAATTATATCAGAATTATCATATTATTTAAGATGTTACAAATTATCACTGGATTGTAAAGATCATCTTATACCATTCTATGAAAGTTTGGGTTTTAAACGTGAACCTAGTAATGCCAATTATCTTAATAAGAGATTTTCTATTGAAAATACTGCAGAACAATTTCATTTATAACACAGAAATAGGTACAATTGAAAGTTATTATAAAAAAATTTGTAGTTTAAATATTTATACATGTTCTGCATACCTCATTTTTAAACAGATTCCTATTATATTATTTTAAATATTTAAAAACAGAATGTAGGTATTACAACCTTTTTACAATTTTTTTTTAGAAAATATATACTAATAAAATATGTGGGTTGTACAGGTTAAAGAAGTAATGATATATGATTATATTTTGCTGAATACTTGTATAATATTTTATAAGAATATATAATAATGCAATAAACAACGTTAGAAAAACAAATAGCAATTAACAAACAGCAATTAGTTACTGATAGAAAAAATACATATTTCGCATTCATTATTTTTTAATCCTTTCTTTTTGTTAAATACATTAACGCAGTTGTTAAATTATGGCATTTTAATTATAGTTTTTTAGCAACAACATTGTTTCTTAATTTTATTGCTCTTTTTGCTTCCATTTGTCTTTGTCTTGCTAATTTACGCTCTTCACGTTTTCTTCTAGCTTCTTCTAATTTATTATTTCCACTAATTGTATTAGTACTCTCAACATTTTCTTATATAAAAGAATTAATTGAAGATTATTAAATAAATATTAATAAATCGTTAAATATATATAAATAAAAATATAAATATACCTGATTGTTCTAAAGGTTGAAAATCTTCTAAAGGTTGAAATTCTGAATCTTCCCAACCTACCTCAGAACACATATTCTTATCTTCTACATTCTGTGTTGCTTCCTCTTCCTAAAAGTAATATTCCAATTTTTTCTAATTTTAGTAATAAAACTAAATACAAAATACCATATACATATATGTTTGTTAATACATATATGTTTAAAATTTGAAAAGATACAAACTGGTTCTTCTTCAAGACTCGTCCACTGATCATTAGGTTTAGGAGAATGAGGAGATGGTGAAATATTACTTGGTCCATGCCCTGATGTAGTAGAAGGTTGTTGTTCCATATCACCCCAATTATCAGCATCCCAATCCCAATCACAATCTGAATTTGCATTTGTAACATTCTGCAAATCATGTTCATGATCATGATCCAATGATGTCATACTTGTAGCACTGCTTGTTGTGGCAGTTGTACTAGCACTGCTTTGTGAACTACTAGCTTGTTCTGTAATTTTATTACATATTTATATACAAAATATTTTATATTAACAAAATAAAAAGTGATATAAATAAGGTACCTAAAGAAGCAGGTTTGTTCAGTAAAATTCTAGATGCATTATGAGGATTTGATGATTTAGGTGTATCTGATTGACTACGATAAAATTTAGTAACAGCTGTTACAGTCCAACCAGCCCATGTTGCTGCTGCATTGCTAAGACTTGGTGTTGCAGTATTTACATCAGCCTCTGAGATAATAGTTTAAGTTATAAATTATGACGATTATTATCTTATATATAAAATTCTTGAATCATTCAAATACCCATAGATTCACGTAGTCCGGGATCTTCTGATACCATTTCAAGGTTTGACAGAAATCCGTGAATAGTTCGAAATGCATTATCTCTTACTCCCTTGTCTACATCTGTAGTAAGTGGACACAAAGCTGGTAAAATGCGATTTGCAACTTCCTGCAGCAAAAAATATTGCTGTGTTGCAGCTAATGCTAAAATACTCGCTGCTCTAGCTGGTGGAAATGGATCTCGTGTACCTCGAATAAATGCTCCAATTAATACCTACAATAATGTTGTCACTTGTAATTCCTTTTGCTATAAATTATTTCATGTTTTATATTTAAATTTAAATTACTTTTTGTCTAATTTGAGGATGAAGATATTGAGCAATTTTTCCTAAACAAACTGTTGTATTAGTACGTATGCCGCCATTTTCGTCTTTCGAGTGAAGTTTAGCAAAATACCTTAATGTTTCCACATTAAGATTATTATAATCTAATTTTGGTGCTAAATGTACAACAGACTCTATTGTCTGTTCCTTGATTGCAGCATTTGTATCTAGGAAACCTTTAACTACCTGTAATTAATAATATCAAAATATTTCAAAGTTTTTGTTTCTGTACAATAAAAACAATTAATATTTATAAACACCTGTGGAAAAATAGCTTCATTCACTGTTGCTGGTTGTAAATGATCAACAAATCGATCTAACTGTTGCAACAATCGCAGCCTTGTTTGTCTATCATTTGATGCAAATAATTTTACAACACACGGTACAACTTTTCGTTGATATTCAATATCAGGTAGTTGGCAACCAAGTTGTAATAAAGGAGGTAATACTGCACTTCCAGCATCACTAAATTCAAAGGCAAGCAATAATTGTGGCAAAATTTTATATCTGCCAACACCATTTGGGAACGATTCTAATTGTCCAGCAAGTTGTGAGAAAAATCGACCCTTTTCTCCTCTTTCTTTCATTTGAATTTCTTCTAAGAATAAAAGTGCATCTACAAGTTCATTTTTAAAAAATCCTCCGTTACTACGGCAACGCGCTATCACATCTGCAGGATTTGGTCTTCCTTCTGCATTGCTACTAATCAATTCTTGATATATCACTTGTAATTGTTTTGGAATCTAAAAGAAACAAGTTAAAAAATATAACCAGCTTTAACTTAGAAATAAATATCCATGTAGGTAAGAAAAAAACACACTTTATCAGTAACTTTAAGTTGCAAATTTGAACTTAGTGGACCATTATATGTTTCCCAGATCAGGCATCCAAGTCCCCACATGTCAACTGAGCTGTTTTTTATTTATTCATCAATTTCTTAGCGTTAACAATAAACCTAAATGTTTACATATAGAAAAGCTAGTATTGTAGTGTAACTTCAGAAATAAGATAACTATTTCCTATTATTTACCAATTAAGAAAATTACTTTGTCAATGTTTTATATGTTAAATAAGTTGTAGCTATGAACAAAAATGATTGAATTATGTTTTACTTATGTTAAAATATAATTTTTCTAATAAACTTTTGTAATAAAAACAATATAAATTTTAAGCATATGAAATTCTTTTACTCCTGTCATAAATCTTTTTTACCATTTAGTAGCTGGCTTTACATTTTCCTTAATGTCAAGAGGATTATATATTTGGAATGTTGATGGTAGTGTGTTATAAACAGCATCTACTGCTGTCATATATTCCACTCCACCAAGTTTCCATTCTCCACTTTCTTCATTAACAAATACAGTCCATAAATTAACATTATTGTGCCGTAGATTACCATCATTATTTAAAAAGTTCAATGCTCTCTATTAAGAAATATATATATATATATGTTATGATGTTTATGACACATATTAATGATATAATATTATATGTACTTTTCATACATACAGTAATTTGAAATATTCCCCATGAAAAATATAATTCTTTTTTAGATTCATCATCATTGTCAGATTTCCTAGTCAGTCGACTATATAAAAACTCTACGCGTTCAGTTGCTAAATAAATTGCTTTATTAGTCTGAAATAATAAAGGACATTACTACAAAGTACTCATATTGTTGATACAACAAGCCTTTATAATACAATGTAGTGATATTGTACCTCAAAACTGTCTAGATATGCCAATATGCTTGGATGCCTAAGTGTTTTTAATCTTTTCACTGCTGAACGAGCTATATTCAAAAGATGTTCATTTCCACTTTTACATTCAAACACAAATACTGAAACATCTTCACCTCCTGCGGAACCCTATAAAAGAATATTTCGAATAATAAAAATAAAATAATACCTAAAAATGAAAAATAGTTAAGATTTACTATGTCAGGTTATGATACCTTTTTTTTAGCCCTATGCAACGTCCAAATGCTTTTATCGTCTAAACCAGAAATTGGTTCACCGATTTCATACGGAAAATCTTTGGTAGAATCTTTTGAAAAAAAGGGCCACATATTTGTGATTTAACTATTTATCTCGATATAAATCAAACTCATTCTTTGATTCTAAACCATATCATAGACTGACAGCTACGCATCAACGTATCATCAACCGCGCGGATACTTCGTGATGATTACGTACTTAATATTGAACTCATATTACTAGCGTGTAAATTGGTATAAAATTTAAACGAATGTACTAATCCAATTTTTTATTATATTTGAAACAATTATTTCTGTCAATTTACTTGAAAGTATTTTATGTCAAATATTCGTTGTTATATTAATGTCTGTTGCTAAGTATGAACGAAGTTGGTCCATCTCTGGTGACAACGTATACTTTTAAAAGTGGCAAAGAATACATTGTAAAGATTAAAGTTACTGCTTTTAAGGGATGTCAGCGTAATTTGGAGCTGTCTATTACCGATAAATATTCTGCTGAGAATTGGCAATCTTTTTATGATGCTGCATGTTTGTCCTTTATGTTTTTTTTATCTTCAATAATTAGTCTTATTTTAAGGTTATACCAATTATAAGAGTTTCTAAATTTTCATTTGTGTATTAGATTTTTTATTTTACATAATTATCACTTGCTTTTTATTATTAATACATTTCTTTCTTTTGAAGACATTGAAAATTTAACGCATAAAACTGGAAATTACAAACATTTTGATGTATTTGTGGCTATGCTACAATCTGGATTATTAAAAGTAAAATTTGAACTTTAATTTTTAAGTTAATTAAATGAAATAAAAAGAATTTAATTACAGACAAGCGAATCTATTACTCTGGATCTTTTAACATTTGAAGATCTAGAATTGTTACGTGCTCGTAAATTTGAATGTAATTCATATCCAAGTTTGGGTAATTCAACAAATAATCGTCGATATCTTATATTAACATATACAGTAGAATTTGATAGGTGAGTGTATTTCTAAAATGTACTAAATTTTTCCAAAATAAATCAAGCATTTATTAATTCAATTAAGAATTCATTATCCATTACCCCTGGAATATTGTGGTTTACCCAATCCAATAATATTACAAGCTACCATTAGAAAATTACAAGCTGAACTTGAGAAATTACAATCTACAAAAATAAATAGAGATCTCCAAAAACATATTGAGCAACTTACAATTATAAACAAAAAACTTCTACAAGAAAATCATAAACTCACAAATGGAGGTAGAAATATTTATTTTGTTGTTTGAAAGATAAGTTTCTTAAATATATTTTATTATTCAGGAAAAGACTTAAAACATTTATTGGGATCAATTAAGTCATTAGAAAGTAGTATTGTTAAAGAACGTACTTCTTTTTGCAAGCAAATTCAAAAACTTAAAGCTGAAAATGCAGCTTTGTTATTAAAAGTACAACAACTTACTGCATCTGCTAATAGAAAATCAGGAAATAATAATTCAGCTTTTAAACAACGAAATTGTATACCTCCTATGTTTAGACAACGAAGCAGAAGTAGATCTTCTTCACTTTCAAGTCGTAATAAAACTTCTAGTTTATCATCAGGTGTATATTGCAATGAAAGTTACACTACAATACCAAAAATTTTATTCATATATTCTTTGTTAAGACATTTATATATATTTTAATTAATAACTACAGGCAGCTCATTGGAATCTGTTAAAATGCAACAATCTCCTTCTCGAAATGTAAAAGTGTATAAGAATAAAAAAAAGAATCCAAGTTAGTATTGAATGTATACTTAAATATAATATACATATATAATAAATTTTTAAATATTTTACTACAGAAGTTGAGTTTGAAAATTTGGAAGCAAGAATCCATACATTACAAAAAATGTTGAAAGAAGGAGTAAACTTAAATTAATAAATGAATAATCATTTTTATGGACAATTAACTAAAATAACTATTGTACCTGCCTCTATAAGTACCTATAACCTCTATAAATATATACTGAAAGGTATCTTATTATTGTCAATATTTTTACAATTTCTATATAATACAACTTAATTTAATCTAAGAAACTTGATTATTTTAATGTTTATAGTAACTTGAAATTATTTTTATAAATATATATTATTTTGGTTTTGAAGCTATGTATGTATTTTTGAAAATTAGTGATGATAAAAAAAGGATATAAAAGTATATATGTGTGAGTATAAATGTGAGAAAATACTGAACATTCTTCATAATGATATTTAAAATGCAAACATAGAAATTGTTGTATGAGATTTTAATTACATATATATGAAGTTATATATATATTGTAAGTATTATTCTTTATATACATTATGATATTCATCTTTTAATGTTACCAATGTTATAGCTACACTATCACAATAATTAATAAAATTTAAAATACAGTTTCAATTAACTGAATTTATCTGTTTTTACATTATTTTCATAATATAATATAGCACGTTCAATTATTGATGGTTTTTCATTCTTTGAATTTACACTTCTATTTTGTTTCTCATCAATATTAAATTGTTGAACTTCTTCATTTATTTCTTTTATTTTTGGCTGTACAACCAATTCATATTTTGTATGTTTCACTAATTCTTGAACAGCTTCTTGCAAATATTGAATTTGACTTTCTTGTTGAGAAGTAATTTGATTCAAATTTTTAATCTCACTAGTGAAAGTTTTTATTTGTTGAAGACGTGCATCCTCTTTTTTTGCTTCTTTTGCTACTTGACGATTATACTCTAATATTAAACAACCACCAGCAACACTAAAAATAATTACTTCACCCATTAGATTGGCTCCTAATTCTATAGCCATAGCTTCATTTAACTTTGCAACTTTTGTAGGTTTACCAAGATTCATTACATACATTTTGGCTTTTACTTCTGCCCAATGATAGACTGTAATTAAGTGAAAAAATATAGAACATGGAAATATAATTATAATAAGTGTCTGAAATTATTGTTAATGACAATTACATCATAATAAAATTCAACAATTTTTAAAATATTGTCATTTTAAAAAATTTGTTGTACTTACATTGTGCTGGAGGAATGATAAAATAAGTTCTAAACACAGGATGGTTTTTTGCTTGATTAACAAGGAACTTTGCTAAAGGTTTACTAATTTGTTTAACAAATAAGACTCCCAATTTGAGAGCTGGAAAAACACCAACTACCATTTTTCAATTTTTTTTTTTTTTTATTAGTATAATTGACTTTGAAAATCACACCTTGTATTTAATTAAAACCTAAAAATTATATGTACAAATAAACATCGAAATATGCTTAAAACACATTAGAAGTATAAACGATTTTCCAATAAATATATTTATCGTTATTATATATTATACACATATTGGTCTATTAAATATTAAAAGCGTAATATATAATAATGTCATAATGTCATAATAGAGAAGATGAATTTTTTCGTTGATTAAAGACCATTACCTTACTTCTGAAATTACTTCAGAGTATAGCAGACAGCCATACTGACGTGATAGTACATTTAGTGTATGACATGTATAAATTACATCTTTATATTATTTGTGAAACAAACTAAACTGATAAATATATTTTTTAATTTTGTAAATAATTTACTATTTGTGAATCTTTATATTAATGCGTAAAGTTACCTGTTAAATATTTTTTAAGTAATAAATAAATATATTCATCTATACACAATAGCTAACTTCATACATATAGAATCTTTTTATTAAAAATGGGTACATGATAGTTTTATCGTATATCATTAAGGTTACGAAATTTGGAAAATATTAAAAATATATCTTTTCTTTTTTAAAATATTAAAGATTTGTTTATACATAAAATTTATTTAAGTTGTAGATGAAATTGAAAAATGAAACGAACAAATAACTTATTAAATACTTTGCTAAATTGTTAAATAAAGTGGATTGAGTAATAAAAAGTTAATATTAAATTACGTATTTCAAACTATACAGTTAAAATTGTTGGTTTTATAAATTAGGCAATTACCAAAAAAAGTAAATGCTTGCAAAATTTATATTGCATTATTTTGATTAAAATTTTAACTATTAAGTGGGAAAATGTATAATAAAAAGCTTAATATAATTAATAATACTTATCCATTTATAATTTTGGGTCTGACAATGCATTTAGTATTGTTATGGGGTATATTGGACATAAATTTTCATTCTCCTATTATTCAAGAACTTCCAAATGTACCAATTTTAAAAAATGCACCAGCAAAAAGATTGGTATTGTTTATAGCAGATGGCTTAAGATTCAGAACTTTCATTGAAGCACCACCAAAATTTCTGAAGTAAAATATATTTATAATAAAGGTTTATTGAAATAAAAAGTTGCATGTATACAATAATATAATTTTATCTGTAGATACATAATGACAAGTAAAGGTGCTTGGGGTATATCTCATACACGAATGCCTACAGAATCTAGACCAGGCATTGTTGCAATTTGTGCAGGATTATATGAAGACCCCAGTGCTATATTTAAGGGATGGAAAGAAAATCCTGTTGATTTTGACTCTATTTTTAATCAGAGTCATCTTTCATGGGCATGGGGAAGTCCTGACATTATATCTATGTTTATAAAAGGTATCACAAAACAGATATTTTAAATAAAATTTGATATAAAAGAATTTAATTAATATTTCTAAATATAGGTGCAAAAGAAAATATACATGGTGATAGCTATCCTTCTGAATGGCAAAATTTTGATATAATGTATGGACAAATTTGGCGTTTAGACTCTTGGGTATTTGACAAATATATTAATTGGCTTAGGGAAGATGCTTATAAAATTAAAAATGTTGAACGTGTTATTTTATTTCTACATCTTCTTGGTTGTGATACTACAGGCCACACAGCAAAACCTTATTCTAGGTATTAGAAATTTATAAACTTTTATTCTTGATGTGATAGTTAAATTATATATTTAATAGAATTGTAATTTCATTAGCTCTAAATTACATTTAAATGTAGAGAATATGTTGATAACATGAATTATGTTGATCGGAAAATAGAAGAAGTTGTACAAATGACAGAAAATTTTTTTGGAGATAATGGTACTGCATACATTTTCACAGCTGATCATGGAATGACTGATTGGGGATCACATGGAAGTGGTTCTGCAGATGAAACAGAAACACCATTAATTATTTGGGGTGCAGGAATCAATATATTTAATTTTCGTCAAAACATAGAACAAGTTGATATCACACCACTAATTTCGACTTTAATTGGTGCTCCAATTCCGATTAATAACGAAGTATATATACGAATAACGTCTATTTTATTATTTACCATTTTCTAAATATCTACTTTATTTTTCAGGGTGTTTTACCATGGCAGTATTTAAATGCTACTAATCCTGAATACATAAATTATGCTTTGTTAAATAACTTAAAACAGTTAACATATCAAGTAAAAGCAAATCGTAAAATGAACTGTGAAGACAATGAATTTGCAGATTGGAGAGAGATAGAATTAGATAATAAGATTTATAATTTAGATAAAGATTTTGAAATACAAGATGCAAATGAAAAATTGAAAGGAATAGTTAGTACAATTAAACTAGCTAAAAAGTTTTTGTTATATTTTCGACAGTTCCGAAGAACACGATTTTTATTATACCTCTCTATGATATGGTTAGGATGGATAATATGTTTATTTTTTAAAATAACTGGAATTCACCGACCTATTATTAATTCCTTTATTTTATTAATAATAGATATTGTATTTTTAATTCTAGTAATTACATTGTTTATTATGCATAAAGGTAAGATATTTATATATTTATTTATCCTATTTATTATTATATATGTATGCAGTATAGTTACTCAAAAAACTATTAGTTTTAGTTTGAAATAATATAGTTTCAGGTTGTAACAATTGGAGATTACCCTTTTATGCATTCTTAGCTATAATCTCTACTTGGCTAGCTATTCGGAGTGCAATTATATATAAAGTAAAACTAAAAATCAATAATAATAAATATTATTGGACAATAACTGCAGAAATAATTTTTTTACTGGCAATAATGTTCATTGGATTAACATATAGATTTATTCTTAGTATAGGAATGTTATGCATTATTCTTGTTCAAAAAATAGTATTAAAAAAGACTCGAAATTTATTTTTTTGGTCAGCTTTATTACTGGCTATTTTTCCATTACTGCCTGTTGTAGAACCACATCCTCGAATTTATGTCGTGTAAGTTGAGATTGATATTAAATTGTGGTATGTTTTCAATTAAATGTAATTAAAAAATTTACTTTCAGGTTTTCTAGCATATTTGTTGTAATTATTATAGTTACATTACAAATGCAATCAAATTACAGAAAAGCAGTTGAAATTTTTCGATTAATAGTTACAGGATTGGTATACTTAGAATTTTTAGATGGCCGAAATTGGATATCATGGACAATTTTATTAACAGCACCATTATATATCTTCACTTATTCTACACAATTAAGGAAAAGAATGCAAGGAATCATGTTGGGACTTTTCTGTCCACTTGTTTTGTTATCAGCATCTTATGAACCTTTTTTTTTTATAATTCTTGCATTACATTTGTCTTCTTGGCCACAGTTTTATATATCACCTACTCAAAATTATCAAAGTAGTAAAAATCCTTTGACGATGGAAGAATTGTTTGAAGCAGCAATCTTTGTATCCTTCATTAATACAGAATATAAATTTAACTTAATTAACTCAATAGTTATTAAATATTTGTTAATTATGTCCTAAACAATTTATTATAGATGTTATATACATTACTATGTTTCTTTGGAACTGGTAATATGGCAAGTATCAGTTCGTTTGACCCTTCTTGGACTCGTCATTTCGTGACAGTTTTTTCACCGTTTACGATGTTTCTATTAATAATTCTAAAAATAAGCATACCTTTAATGCTAATTGGATGTACAAGTCATACACTTGGATCTTCAAACATATTTTTAGGAGTGCTTTTATTAGGAGATTGTTTATCATTACCCCTTATGTATAATGTTACTCCTCAAGGAAGTTGGCTTGATATTGGTAGTGCTATAAGTAGATTTACAATTGCGATTTCTCTACCATGCCTTATAGTAGTATTACATTACCTTTCATTTCCTTTAATAACATTTTTCCCAAATAAATTTAAATTTTATATTAATTTAAAGAAGAATCATATTGTATAAAAAGATATGGAATGTGTAAATAAGATCTATGATTTATTTGTAGTAAAATGACCAAGTAAATATAACTGTTTTTTTATTTGATGCAATTAAAAGTTGATACATTCTTGTCTTTTTTTTGAAAAAAAAAAAAAAAAAAAATTATATATTTTTAATATATTTCACTTAGAAATTCTATTCCATAATAATGAAATATTAAGTTTGATATTTTAATAATAATAATACCAAATCATATACTGCTTTAATAGCAATAATTCATTATTTAAGAAGTTTTAGATGATATACAATATTAATATCAATATAATTCCTATATTTTTTAAATAAGTAACTTTTGTTTTTATAATATATTGATGAATTGAACTTAAAATTTAAATTCTTTATATTTCTTAGAGGCTTTTGAATCTTGACTTTGTTGTCGTTTGCGTTTACTCTGTAAAAATAAACAAAATTAATTTCATATATATCAATTAATTAATTTATCAAAAACGTAATTATATGATTACTTTTTGTCGTTGCACATGATCTTGAAGCATATCTGATAAATCTTCTCTTCTTAAATGAGCTTGCCGTGACCTCATTGTTTCTTCATATCGCGATGCCATTGCCTCGGAATCTAGATCTAGCTCACTTGGATCTAATGCTAATTCAACAGCTCCGTCTTTCTCTGTTCTTCCATCAGATGTTGTTCCACTTACTCCACGTCGTGCAGCAATTACAGATGGTGGCGCTTGACCTCCTGCTGCACCAGTCATATCATATACATGTGTACTACCCATCATACTTGCTCCAAGGCCTTCTGTCCGTCTTTCTTGCAAAACTGTATACAAAGCTGGAGTATCACCACCTTCCATTTCACTTTCAATTTTCTTTTTTCTTAATTCTATTGTTTCTGGAGTTTCTAATCCTGCAGGTATTGATGTAATTCCACTAGGTGTTATTAAACCTTCTGCACCAGGAGTAACCAAACCACTTGCATCTCCATCTCCATCTTTTCCTTCTCCTTCACCTTCACCACCTTCCTCTGCATCCTCATCTTCATCTTCATCTCCAGATGATTCTGATTCAGGTTCACCCCACATCCCTCTGTCAATTTCTTCATCCATATTATCTCCTCCTGGAGTACGTGATATACCAAATACATCTCCATACAAAGGTCTTCCTGTTTCATCTACAGGTGGCTTTCCCCAACCACCAGCATGATAACCAAATGCACACCCTTCTGGAATTGGTGCATTCAAACCTGGTATCTTTAAGTTAGGATAACTTGGTGGTGGTCCATACCGTTGCATAGCAATTAACCATGGGGGTGGTACTTTATGACAATTAGGTCCTACTGGCATGCCAAGTGCAGTACGCAATTCATCAGACAATTCTCCTGGTTTCTTTTCTTTTAAACGAGTTTCAAATTCTTTACCCTCATAATATAAATCACCATGAATAGTCATACGAGGTTTAGTTTGCCATTTAAAGAATGCATCATGTAATTTCTGATAGTCAATGTCTATTTTACCAAGTTTGGGTCTTGCTCTTTCTCGCATTTTAGCTTTTAATGTACGTGTATCATCTCGTTCTTGAAGACTTGCCCTCATTTCGGTAATACCTGTACGTTTTATAAAATCTGGTAAATCAAAAGGAGGCTTTTCTATGCCACGCTTTCCTTGTAAATACTTCCTTTTGAAACACCAATGTCTTGGTACAGGCACTGTGTTACGATGAGCTTTTAATTGTACAAGAAGTTTTGGGTCCCTCGCAGTAACATCATGCATTTCTACAACATCTGGACGTCCCACAAGCTGTTTTAATTCTGCAACACTTAAACGAGTTAGTCTTTTAAGTTTTCTTTTGGAAAGACGTGGAGCACCATTTTCTCCAGTTCCTTGCTGTTGTTGATGTTGATTTGCATCATCATCAAAATCATCTAATGGTGGTACTTTACTAGGTACTGTTCCTGTTGTTTGTAATGTTGTTACTGGTGGATACTGTCCTATTGGTTCTCCTTTCTCTGCCTCTGTTAATTTTGGTTCAGGTTCAGTTAGTTTAAAAGCCTCAAATATTCTAGCAAATTGACGATACATTGGTTCTAAGTCATTAACACTTGGTATTTCTTGAATGTATTCAATTTCTGGTAAATCCTCTTTTGGTTTTGCATTTTCTACATTGTCCTTTTTATTCTCTATTTCTTTTCCTATGTTATGTTTCTTTCTCTTTTTCTTCTTCTTCTTTTTAGTTTTATTTGTTTTCATATCTATTTTTTCTGTTGTTGTCTCAGGTTCAAGTATAACATCATCTAACTGAGATATATCTTCCCCTATACTCTCATGATTAGGCGACTTTCCTAATGAAACTATATCATTTGGATCTCCCCCTACTTCTTTAGCCCTTTCAGTTTTAAAAGCCAATGCTTGTTCTAAAGCTGCTGGTAATTTCATAGAATCACTGTCTGTATCCCTACCAGTATCATCTGATGAAGTTTGATTTTGTAATTCACTTGGTGGACTTACTTTTAGACTCAATAAGCTTGGTAATGTTTTTGGAGGATCTATTCCTGGTACACCATGATTATTATTTGGAGGCATATTCATTAAGGATGGCATTTGGTGAGGCATTTGTTGAGTCTGTTTTAAAGTTTATAAATGAAAATTAATATGAAAAACATAATAAATTATGATTTATGAGTTTATTATATACTGAATGAAATACAATAAATATGTGTATATATATATAT